TGTATCCCTAATTTAGACATCGGAAAACCTCATACTATCTGGAATAGTCTACCACCAAATATTGGCGAACTCAGGAAAGCAACAATAAAAGCAAGGCTATGCACAGGGACATATATATTTCAATCACAGAAAGCTCGTTTCTCAAATATTAACCTTGATGCAACTTGCCCAATTTGTCAACTGGAAGAAGAAGATATCATCCATTTTCTCACTCGCTGTCCCGTTCTGGAAGGCATACGCAGAGAATCTCTAAGTGTTATCAAAAGAAATTCCATCAGTAAAATTGGACTAGGAAACTGGAATTCCAACTTTCACGAGAGAACTTGTATTGCCCAACTAATTTTGGATTGTCAGCAACTGGCTCTAAACAATATTCTCCCTCATGATGACCTTTTTCTTAATTCAATAGAAGAATTAAGCAGGAACTTATGTTATAGACTCCATCTAAAAAGAGTGTCTTCTCTTAATGTCTAGTTGTCATAAGGTCAGTGTGGTTGTACCGCGCTATACCTTAAACAACTATCTTCAACTTCATAAAATAAAATATGGCTTTTTTCTCCAATCTAAGGAATAATCATTTATGCTTCTTCGACAGTACAACTAGGTCAGTGTGGGTGTTCCGCGCCAAACCTAACATCAATCTTTTACACAGAATTAAATGCTGCGAAAATCTAAATGTTTAAATCTTCATTTAATTTAGGTTAATATGGCTGTTCCGCGCTATACCTTCAATTGCTTTCTTTAACTCCGTAAAATGAAACAACTGAAACAACGTTTATCTTTAATCTAAAGTCATCATAAAGGTTTTTGGACAGAGCAACTAGGTCAGTGTGGGTGTTCCGCGTAAACCTATCAATCCTTTACGTAAAATTAAATGCTGAGAAAATCCATGAAATTTTAGAATAACTGGTCAGTGTGGTTGTGCCGCGCTATACCTATAGTTGGAATAAATTTACATGTTTCCCGTAACTTTAATACCCAGTAGCTTCACATATATATATATAACAGATAGATAATGGCTATGCATAATTAGATCGCTTAGGACATATAAGCTTATATGCATGATTTTATTGATTTTACATCGCCTAGTAGTGCTCATAGACAGATGTAGTAACTCCAGCATGTAGCAGGCAGGAAGCTGAAAACTCGTTATTTTTTTTACCTTTAAGTAACATTGTTTAGTGAATGTAAAGATTTTTTACTATAATGCATGCCCTGTAAATAATATTCAAAACTTTTTTATTTTTAAAAATTTTATTAATAACTTTTAAACTGTGACCCATTTTTAATGTACATAGAAGTTATTATTAGTATCTTTGCAGGGATTTAACTGTACATAATGTTATTTTTAAATAGTTAGGTATTCACTTAATAATGTTTTATAAGGATTAACCAACCTTAATTCAGTAAGGTTGGTGTACTCCAACTATTGGAGGAAGATATAGAGGAAAGAAGAAGAAGAAATTGTTTTGTTATAAATTAGGCCATTAATTTTTTTCGTTTAAAATGTTTGACATTTTTAGGCAGTTAAGCTGCCTTATGCGAGCACCCTAGATTTGTGTTCTACCCAATAAATGCTGAAATACGTGCCATTGTTATTATCTAGCTGGCTATTATGTTATTGATAACTAATTGGACATTTTTTTAATACTTTTATTTCTGGAATACAAAAAATATGACCAGAAAAACCTTAAATGATCGTCGAACTACCCAAAACTTTTGAAATTGCACATAGGAAGTAGTGCTCAATAGAAATACGTACGTAGTTTATTATCTCCTGTGCTTTTGGCTACGATGCCAAAGAACAATTGTATGAAATATTTCATCGCCGAAAATCGGTAATTACAAGTCGTTTATATTTCCCAAATGGCAAAATGCGCAGGAATATTGTTCATGTACAACAAATCTCTATGATAGAGGAAATAAAGTTTTATAAGTGGGCGGTAATTTTTAACTTGTCTTGCCAAATAAGGTTGTTGTTATTTTATGAATAAAATGAGGCCATGAAACAGATGCGGAAATCGACGTTGATGGGATGTTTTAAGTAATGTGGACAACTCGTCCCCGAGACAAGTCGGACCGAATCCTGTTTGAGAACTTGGAAATGGTCGAGATCCCCACCCCTAAACCATATATATTTAAGTCTCCCAAACAAAGTTTGGAGACTTATTGTTTTTGCTCAGTTCTTATTATTTTTATTATTCTTCTTCTTTTTCTTTTTTTTTTTCTTTTTCTTTTTCTTCTTCCGCCACTTTAAAGATGAACTTGTCTGCAGCGGTTCTCCAAAACCCTTGTCAGATTTACTTAGGGTTTCATAAAATGTAAGATTAACATGTCTAGGGAAGCCATCAACCAATTGTTTGTGCATTGGGGTCTATTAAGGGGTATTTTAAGGGGCATAAAGAAGAGAGGGGTTTACTATAGAAACCTATGAGATTTTATTTTTTTAAATTTTCAAATGACTTTAACTTGAAAATTGTAAGTGATAGATACACGCAGTCTTCAGAAATGATCACAGAACAATAAAACAAATCAGATGAAATATAGGGTGTGTGCCTGGGGTCACCACCCATCCCCTTCAATTTGAGAATGTGCTATTATCTTGTAAACGGTCGAGATCCCCACCCCTAAACCATATATATTTTTGTATGGGACAATAAAACAAATCAAATGAAATATAGGGGAAGTCCATTGGGGTAAACCCCACCCCTTTCTTTTTGATAACTTGTAAACGGTCAAGATCCCTACCCCGCAACCATATATGTTCTTGTATGGGACAAAAAAAACAAATCAAATGAAATAAAGGGGAAGTCCCTGGGGGTATCCCCACCCCCCCCCCCCCCCCCTTCTTGTTGAAAACTTGTAAACGGTCGAGATCCCCACCCCTAAACCATATATATTCTTGTATGGGACAATAAAACAAATGAAATGAAATATAGGGGAAGTCCACGGGGGTCACCCCACCCCCTTCTTTTTGAAAACTTGTTAACGGTCGAGATCCCCACCCCTCAACCATATATATTCTTGAATGGGACAATAAAACAAATCAAATGAAATTTAGGAGAAATCCCCTGGGGTAACCCCCACTCCCCTTCTTTTTGAAAACTTGTAAACGGTCAAGATCCCCACCCCTAAACCTTATAAATTATTGTATGGGACAATAAAACAAATCAAATGAAATAAAAGACGAGCCCCTGGGGTCAACCCCACCCCCTCCTGTTTCAGAACTTGTAAACGGTCGAGATCCCCACCCCTAAACCATATATATTCTTGTATGGGACAAAAAAAAACAAATCATATGAAATAAAGGGCGAGTCCCCTGGGGATAACCCCCACCCTCCTTATATTCTTACGCCCACCCCCCTTCAATTTGAGAATGTGCTTTTATCTTGTAAACGGTCGAGATCACCACCCCTAAACCATATATATTCCTGTTCGTCATTTCAAGAAGATTTGAATGATATACAGGGTTAATCCATAGGCGTCACTTATGCATATCACAAACCAATTTGTACTGGACTTTGCCCAATGTCAGGCGACCATGGGAATGACGAATTATTGGAGCTTTGCTTGGGAGACTTCGTAACAGCATCCTGTTACAATTATTTCTTGTCATGTATGGGACAATAAACAAATCAAATGAAATATAGGGGGAGTCCATGGGGACACCCCACCCCCTCTTGTTTGAGAACTTGTAAACAGTCAAGATCCCCACCCCTAAACCATATATATATTCATGTATGGGACAATATAACAAATCAAATGAAATATTTGGGTGTCCCTGGGGTCACCCCACCCCCTCCTGTTTGAGAACTTGGAAATGGTCGGGATCACCACCCCTAAACCATATGTATTTATGTATGGGACAATATAACAAATCAAATGAAATATAGGGGGAGTCCCAGGGGTCACCCCACCCCTCCTGTTTGAGAACTTGTAAACGGTCGAGATACCCACACCTAAACCATATTTATTCCTGTTCATCATTTCAAAAATATTTGAATGACATACAGGGTCAATCTCCTAGGTGTCACATATGCATATCACTTTACTAGACCAAACCAATATGAACTGGACTTTGCCCAATGTCAGGAGACCATGGGAATGACGAATTATGGGGGCTTTGTTTGGGAGACTTCGTAACGGCATCCTGTTACAATTATTTCTTGTTTATTATAAAATTTTATTGATGCAAAAAATGAGTCTAGGTTAATTGAATTTACTTTAATTATTTATTAAATTATTTCTGGGCCTATAATAATTTTCAGTTATGGCTCATTTTAAAGAAAACATATAAATCTTTCAAGCAGTGTAAAGCCCGAGAATGTTTGACCAACTGTTTTATAATCACCTGTCATTTTATTCCAAACTTGGTATGGAGTAACATCATGCATATGGGGGTGAAGATGGGGGTCATTTACATTGATATATGAGTTGCTTTTGAAAACCTTGATGAAATATTAATTAATTTGCCTTAATAATCAATTCTTGTAATGAACATAAATGTACAATATACGAATGTTTAATGTTTGTTCTTTCAAATCTTAAAAAAAAAATTGAAGCAACACTGCCACAGTTTTCATAATTACGTTTGCCTTGGTTTTTGGTTAACTGCCTACAGCGCTTACAGTGCTTTGATTTATATCGGGGGCTTTTATAGCCGACTATACGGTATGGGTTTTCTGATTGTTGAAGGCCGTACGGTTTCACAATTGATTATATCTACTTCATTTGAACTCTGGTGGATAGTTGTTTCATTGGAAATCATATATCTCCTTTTTATTATGAAAAATCACATAAGCAATAAATTGCCTAGCTTGATTCCAAAAATACTTTCAATCGTTCTGTTGTGTATTTGAGCCAATCACTTAAATGTTTCAAGCAACATCCGGGAGATAGCGCAGAGTTGGGGAATACTTCAATAAGAGATAGCCAAATCAATCCGATGAGCGAGCATGTGCATGGCTCATAAGTCATAAAACAAAAAACTTCTCAAAATATCATTTGCTTATAGAAAATTTTATTGTTTTATAAGGGTGCGATGCAAACTCATTAATGTCTTTTTTGACGCTTAAATTCTGGATCAACTTTATATCTTGAATCGCTTTTTAGTCGTTGAATGGAGAATGTAAAGCCTGAACCAGCACCGGTACCAGAGCCAGTCCTTGTAGGATCGACTGTTTGTCGCGCTATACCACCAAGACCACTCAAACGACTCTGAATTTTTGACATCAAAGAGTCAGAATTGTCTATATTTCCTTCTGCCTGTTTGAGTAAATTCTTAGCGACATCTTTTAGTTGAAATCCGGGCTTCTGGCTGTCTTCTGTAGGGCCGTTGTCTCCTTCTGGATCCTGTTGTTTATCTGGTTCATCCGATGGACCAGCACCAGCACCCACATCTGCAGATGGTTCCATTTGATTGGATATATCTTGGTCTAATTTCATTTGCTGTTGTGTATCATGTGGTGTAATATCAACATCCTGCTCTTCTTTTTCACTCGTTTCTTCTCCATCGTATAATAAAGACTGAAGCTCGTTTCTCTCTGCTTCAGAGAATGGAATAGAAACATCGGTGTTCTTATGGCACCTGTGTAAACCCTTGCCTTCATTGTCTCCACAGTCAAACACCAGAGCATCTGTCAGAGCTTTTGGTTCAGCCAGCAAATTTTCCAATCTTGTTGTCCTATGTAATACAAATCCTGCGTCATCTGATCCTTGAAACTTGTATTTCTCTTCCTGAAAGCTATCAAATTGTTTCCAAAGCGATCGTCTTTCTAAGAGCTTGTTATTGGTGGCGTGTTCTAAGTCACGTGACATAAGTTCTAATTCCAGTAGTTTCTCCCTTTCTTCTTCTAGTTCTTTCTTAATTTCAAGGTTTTGTATGGTTAATTCGGCACTAGCACGCTCTTTTTCACTAAGAGCTTGAGGTGAAAATCTAAGAATTCCTTTGAACCTTGCCATAATTAAGTTGTCAAATTCCTGAATATTTCTCATATACGGTCTCTTCTCTTCCTTTGCTCTTTTTACATCATCCTTGAACACTTCCCATTCTTTATCGTATTCGATTCGTTTTTCTTCCAATCTCCTTTCCATCGCACTCAAATCTTCTTTCTTCTTTATAAGATCGTCTTTGGCAAATTCTAGTAGCATCTTCTCATTCTCGGCTTCGCTCTCCTGTAAACTTTTACCTTCCTGTTGAAGCTTTCTTCCAACATCCTGAACTTGTAACTGTGTCCTGACAAATTTTTCTTCTTCAAGCATTTGAATCTTCTCCTGTAGAAGCTCCAAATATTCATCATCAGCAGTCAAACGTTCCTGGCGGACGCTGTCGGCCTTCTCGATTAAACCAACAATGTTTTCTGACAATGACTGCATTTCCGTATTTAGTTTCTCTACATTTGATTGAATGCGCTGAGCACGTCCGTGTTCGCCTTGTACATCTTTATGTAGTTTGGAACTGTCGTTTGAAAGTTGTTGAAGCTGACATTTAATTTCGGTCAAGGCATCAGTTATTACTTCCGGATTCATTTGCTCGTCTGTTACTCCAGTGGCCATGTTAGTATAGCTTAATGTTTATATGCTTCTCTTTTATTACGTTTATAAATACCTGCAAAATTTGATCAAAATGACATTTAACTGTACTTTGATATCAAAAATGTTAGTTTAGCATAAGATTGTGCATTGACATTTATTTCATTAAAATGATATATATTTGTAGTTCTTGCACCTTGCAGGCCCAAAACTATTATTGAGCCACCCGTGTCATCCGAATTTTCGTTTGAAACGTTATTACCAAAGTAATTTTTGTATGATAAAGTTTGGAAATCAATCATTGGGGAATTCTGCTGAAACACATCTTGTAAACCATCAAATCTAAACCAAATGGTTAAGCGAGAAAAACTTTACTGGGACTTCCTGTTGAACTTTTCTAGTATAGATGTATCAAAAATATAGATGGGCTGGTCGACTTTTTGTCAATTTATCTAAAGTCGATCTTTAATTTTTGTGTTAAAAAAGGAGAATGTCATGGCCGGCAATGGACATTTGAGCGATAAGAAAAGGACGTTTGAGCGCCATGCAGAATCTAGGACATTTGAGCGAAAATAAAAATAAGAATAGGACATTTGAGCGAAAATAAAAATAAGAATAGGACATTTGAGCGAAAAAAATTAAGAATGATGAAGGAGTATCTCTTCCATTCGTTGTCGGTCAAAATTATATCCATTTTAAAATGTACATGTATTAGTATTGAGATCTCATGTGCCCAGGGACGTTTCACTGTCTCGTTTATTACACGGACCAATGAAATTTGAAAATGACATCGGCATCCCTGACTTTTCTCCTGCAGGTAAGTACGACCAGAACAGTCAGTTATAGACAAAATGACAGTGAGATCATCCATAAAGCTATATATTCGTAAAGAAATAGAAAAAAAACTTTTATTATACGTTTATATATTAATTAAAAAGCATGTCAATATACTGATATAATAGAAAACGAAAGGATATGGGGTATCCATCCATGACACAAAATCAGTACATACACAGCAAAATACACACATAAAGCAAAGGAACAGCGCTTTTATTGCTGTTCTTCATCACAAAGTCACAGTGAGGCCTTCAAAACGAAGCAAGAAAACTCTCACCTCACTGCAAGTTTAAGACGGCCCCTAGCACCGACTTGAGCGGAATTCTTTGCAAAAATAATTTGGATAGACTTCAGTTGTAAGATGTAAAACCACCAAATCGGGCCCGGTCAATATACGTGATATACGTTAGATTTATCGACGATCTCGAAAATATGAAAAGTGAGGAAGGATTTTGTCTGGTCTTTTTAAATTATTTATTTATTATTTATTTAACCGTATTCTTTATTTATAAATATCTTTCAGTTCAAACACTTTGGCCGTTTATGTTCAAATAGAGAATATCACAAGCAAAGAGAAAAGAGAATCCACAAAAAAATGTATTTTACTATAAAAATTTATAATAGATAAATAACTTTCTTTCAGCTAGTCAGTTAGAACTGTTTGTTTTCGAAATCTTAATAAACATTTGTTGGGTTTTCAATTCAAAATCAGTACTTTGTCGAAACAGCTTGCATCAGAAGAATTATTCTTCTATTAACCCGAACTCTAACTGATCAATTTAAGTGTCAAACATTTCTTTTTAAAATTAACACAAAATCCAGTTGCAAAAATTTTTAAATAAAAACAACCCTGTATAATTAAGTGTAGGTGTAAAATTTATTAAGTTTGTCCCCACGGATATTTATTTAACAGGTCAACCATTCAAAAAGCAACTAAAATTTTCTTAAACCTCTTGCCAAAAAAATGCATATTGGAAAAAGATCAGCATTTGATAGTGTTGATTTTACCATTTTTACGAAGAGTTGTCGGCAATTACCCGATACTTTAAACTTGGATTGTTTACAACAAAATAACGAGGCTACGATTTTCAAAGCTTTATAATGTGTCAAAGATCAAATAAATTATTTAACAAAAGAACAATTAATTACAGACACAATTTGTGGAAAAAGATGTTTACAGACGCTGACGCTGACATTTAAAATCAAAATACTGCAACTTACAATTCTACGAAGAGCATATTATGATACTCATTCCAGTTTAGTCACATCTTTATATCGATCTACATACTTTGATATAGTCTGCCGTTGTTATACACCTCTGTGACGTAACGGACGTTACTAGTCGTCAATGCACGTCAACAATATAGATGTCCTTAGTTCAACCCTGTAGATAGTCCTTTTTTTAACGTTTATATGCTGATATTTTCATTTTCCATTTTTTGGAATGCGCGGGCGACACATTGATAGTAAAAACAGCAAAAAGAAAAAATATCAGAAAAAAAAACAGAAATAGAGATATTGCCCGAGGTCATATGTTAAAGGACTACCCTGTAGATAGTGATTACAAATCCTTTCTGATTGCTTGTTGTTTGTAAGCTCTAGTTTAATCATATTTAATAAGCAAAACAAAGCAAAACGGATTGGACTCAATTTAATCAAACTTATTGAAGCCCGCCTTCGGGTGCAGGATTTTCTCACTGAGTTGAAGACCCATTGTTGCCTTCGGTTGTTTTCTGCTCTTTGGTCCGATGAAATTTATAGCGTGTTTTTTTTTTCATTTTTTAAAGCACTGGGTCGATACCTCTGCTGATGGACTGTCAGTCCCTGAGGGTATCATCAGCTCAGTAGTCAGTACTTCGGTACTGACATGATTTACAACAAACCTTTTTAAAATTGTCCGTTAATAAATTTTTAAATTATTAGAAACTAAGGTTTCCACTCCCTCAGGCAAAGTTGACTTTAATGGATTTGGCTATTTTGAGATCCTTTTTGGTAAAAGAGCTCTTCAACTGTTTCGGTTGTTATACATCCTTTTCTTTCCAATATTCGGCTTTTAGCGTTCCTGATGAAGGTAAATCCAGAAAAGCGTTTCGGACGCATGAAATTTATAACGTGTTGTTTTTAATTATTTTGACATATTCCCGTTTCCATTCTATATTCTATTATAACTATCCTTTTTGTATATGAAGCCAAGTCTAAATGTATATCAACAAAAGTATACAGAATATTCAAGTAAACAGAACCAAGTTCAAAATTAAGATGAATCATATGTTTTGACTAATATTTAAAATACCCTCTTAAATATCCCCGTTCTAACTGCAACAATACTATCAGAACACAACTTTTACCATATATAATTTAATGTATCTCATATCAAAATAATGATAATATATGGAAATTGTAAAAGACCTTAATTATCTCAAGACTTTTTATTTGAAAATGGAAGAGCCGTCTTTATATGCAGGAGTTTGAAAAAAATTTCATGATTAATGTAAGTTTTTGAGACCCTTCCACACACAATCCGACTCTTAGATTTATAGAGACACTCTGTAATGGTTTGAAAATGGTCGCTGTTTTGCATGCCGATAATTAAATACTCTACTTCGTGTTCTCAGTTGATGTGCTTATTTTTGTAAGTCTATTGCTTGCTTAGTGGTGTCATGATAAAATACGTTTTTTCTTTGTATTTTCATGTTGTACTGTTACACTACTGTCCCAGGTAAGGGGAGGATTGGCGCCTTCATACCAGTTTAACCCCGCCACATTCAATAAGTGGGATTTGCTCACTGCTGAAGACCGTACGGTGACCTATAGTTGTTAACTTCTATGTCATTTTGTCTCTTGTGGAGAGTTGTCTCATAGACAATCATACCAAATCTTCTTATTTTTATATATACAATAAAAATCAGTTCATAAAAAGCATTTAGTGACTCTATAATAAAGGTGTAATTGATAAAAACGCACGGAATGTGTCCAGTGGACACCCTGCCCGCTTGCACTATCACATTTCTATCATCAGGGAAGAACGAAATCTGTGTCAAATCTTTAATTTGGCATTTGAAAGGTGCATTTCATAATAAATATGTGTACCACGATCTAAGTTATAAGTTGATGCGTCCACAAACTACACCAAAACTTTAAAATACCTTGTGTGACTAAATATGACATGTTTATGTGTGTGTCCTAACATGAATGTAAGTGTGACTTAATGTGACATGTCCCTGTGACTGAATATGACATGTTCGTGTGACTGAAAATGGCATGTTCGTGTGACTGAATTATATAACATTTTCGTGTGACTGAATATATGGCATGTTCATGTGACTGAATATGACATAAGGGCGTGACTGAATATGACATGTTCGTGTGACCGAATATGACATTTTCGTGAGACTGAATATGACATGTCTGTGTGACTGAATATGCCATATTGGTGTGACTAGATATGACATGTTCGTGTGACTGAATATGACATGTTATTGTGACTGAATATGACATGTTCGTTTGACTGAATATGACATGTTCGTGTGACGGACTATGACATGTTTGTGTGACTGACCGACATGTTCGTGTGACTTACTGACATGTTCGTGTGACTTACTGACATGTTCGTGCGACTGAATATGACATGTTTGTGTGACTGACCGACATGTTCGTGTGACTGACATGTTCTTGTGACCAATTATGACATGTTCGTGTGACTTTCTGACACGTTCGTGTGACTGAATATGACATGTTTGTGTGACTGACTATGAAACATGTTCGTGTGACTGACCGACATGTTCGTGTGACTGACTGACATGTTCCTGTCCCAAGCCATGGCCCCTGTAGCTTAGTGTGGTTGTTGTTGATTGACATCTGTTATAATATTGTTTTCAATTAAGGTTCATAATAACACATGGACAAAAATGAATGTGTTTACACCTCAAAAACTACTATGAACTCAGACAACCTGTGCAGTGGTCTTGAAAAAGATTTAACACTACAAGGTATGGGGAAAATCTAGATTCAGAATTTTTTTTTGTCATCTGCTTGACCACAATATTTTTTTTCATCAAATTGGGGATTAGAATATTTTTTTAGGAAAAAACCATAACCCACCCTTGAAGTTAAATGGTTGTTCCCTTATGGTGTTTTGTCTGTCCACTCAGTTAAACCCTTTAAATCACCTATTGTTGTGTATATATCTATTGTTCTTCTATTCTCCATAGCAGTAAAGACGATACAATTGTTACCTGAGAGGGGGCATCTCAAAGATTTAACCCAACTTAAGTTTATTTTTACACCTGTAGGAACAGAAATAAATAAAATGGAAAATGGAAATGGGGAATGTGTCAAAGAGACAACAACCTGACCAAAGAGCAGAAAACAGCCCAAGGCCACCAATGGGTCACCAACACAGCGAGAAAATCCTGCACCCAGAGGTTGGCTTCAGCTGGCCCCTAAACAAAAATGTATACTAGTTCAGCGAAAATGAGGCGGGGTTAAACATGTTTTGTGAGATCTCTAGCCAATGTAAACTAAACAAACACACAGCAATACACACAGTATAACTCAGTTGAAAAGAAGTCAGAGTCCGATGTTAGAATAGGTAACAGAAGAAACTACGCAAAATGACAATGATCAACATAAATGCCCATCAAAGATTTTACCTTCCTGAAACACAAAATACATTTAACTTTTATATATCTAGTGGAAGCCAAGCAGTAAAAGTTATCATACGGCACAGTTTTGTCTGTTCTTACTCAGAGTAAATTTTATGCTATTAGCTTACTTCAGGCTTTTAGCGCTCTTTTAAATTGTTTCAAATTCTGTTATCCTGTTGTATTAATATCTTACTATGAGGGGTTGAAAAGGGATAAGGGCACCCTGGGGAAAGAGGGGTAATCTAAGTTATTAACTAAAACAATCGGACTTCGACAAATTCAGTTAAAAGATTACGTCTCACTTATAATGGTTTCTACAACAGAATATTCAATTTCTCTACAACTACAGCAGATATGACCAATAAGGTCAATAACACAATCCACATAGATGAAAGTTGCAGGACATCTACACTAAATGTCTCACATACTGCATGAACCCACCCAGATTCTCCTGCACCAACAAAATTCTTCATTGAATAAAAAATTGCTACCCAGAATGCCGCCAGAGCATCTATTCCTGGAATTACCACACTATTCTAAGTGTATTTGGCACAGGGTGTAATCTACAGGCTATGTTACCAAAAACAAAGAAGAACCATACATTCACCAACTTTAAATTGTATGCAAGAAGCACAACCCCAGTAGAACAGGGGAAAATAGAAGATGCTTGGTTTCATTCATTTGAGGACCTGGAAAATTCCAACTGAGTTAAAACCAACATAAAAAAATATGGAATCATTACGATACGATATATTATATCAATTGTTCCAATGTTTTTTAGGGCTTTTCCAGGAAATAATGTGGGAGGGGTGGGGGTAGGTCATCATACCCTCCACAATTTTTATTTCCATTTGTGACCATTGTTTTAGTTTCCACCCTTATAACCCACAGACAAAATACTGTAAATTCAGAAATGATTGCGTGCATTTATTATTGCGATTTTTGTGGAAAGGACAAAAATGCGAGATTAATTATTGCGATTGCAGGAAAATCTGCATACAGTTATTTATATCAGATATCAGAATGCGAGTTCTTATTATTGCGATACTCATTCAATTGCATTATTCGCATAAATAAAAACCTCGCAATAATTTCTGAATTTACAGTATCATGAGTAGTCCAGCTTTACTGGAATAGCCCTTTGGCATTTAAATGATACTAATATGTGCAAAATAAATATGTAAAACCCATCTATTTTTTTTATTATGATTTAAAAAAAAAACCTTTATTAATTACATGCATTTAATATCAGCTACACACTTACACAAATAAATTAGTCAAAATAATTCCTATTTGTCCAACAATCATATTTCCACAATTACATGCAACTATTCAATACACACTTACACAAATAAATTAGTCAAATAATTCCCATTTGTCCAACAATCAAATTTCCCAGCTGTCTATCAAACATATTCCTGATTGTCCCTCAGCATTTTATTACTTGTTCACAATTATACTGATTGGATTTGTTGTTCATAACATATTTTAACAAGAGTGCACACACTGAAATATCTCTCCTGCTTTACTAATTATAATTGAATTTTTGTAAATTCTGTAATATGAGGTCTTACTACAAGTACATGTATCACATAAAGTTAACATTATCAATGATCCATGAAAATGAGGTCAAGGTCAGATGAACCCTGCCAGACAACATGTACACCATGCAATCATTCCATACACCAAATATAGTTGACCTATTGCACTTAAGGTTTAGAGAAATAGACCAAACCACAAAAACTTAACATTGACCAATGAATAACGAAAATGATATCAAGGTCAGATGAAACACATTGCTTTAATATAGTATCTGAGATATGGATTTGATTACAAAAACTTAATCTTGATCACTGATCCATGAAATGATGGTTGAGGTCAGGTGAACCCTGTTTGACAGACATGTAGACCTTGCAAGGATCCAATATATCAAATAAAGATATCCTATTACACATAAGTGAGTATTTCACATACAAATTAAAATATACATTATTTAAAGCTTTTTTTTAGCTTACACCATGTGTATTACCCCTTTGAGACATTAAATTTGTAAGCTTAGTTAAAATCTTCCTTTTTTTACTGCTGCCTACAAAGATAAAGAAAATGTGATTAAATTTCAATTTTAACATCAATTTCAAATTATTGATCTCTTCATTCAGAAGCAAACAAGGAAATCAAGTTACAGCTTTATCTGTAAGATGTCCAATTAGTTATCAAATGTCAGTAAAAATTATGAGATAACAATTTCTACTGTAAATTCAGAAATTATTGCAATATTTAATAAATGTGAAAAATATGACAGTACATGTATCAGGTTTGCAATAACAAAATCTCAAATTCATAATTTCAGTAGTGATTTTCTTTTAAAAAATGTTTTTTAATAATCTAATAACGTTGGTTCATGTCTATCATATTTGTTTTTTGTAAATTGTTTTGTTTTAAATTAGGCCGTTAGTTTTCTCAATTGAATTGTTTCATATTTTTCATTTCGGGGCATTTTATAGCTGACTATACATTATGAGTTTTTCTCATTGTTGAAGGCGGTACGGTCGCCTATAATGCTTACATCCACTTCATTTGAACTTTGGTGGATAGCTGTCTCATTGACAATCATACCACATATCCTTATTTTTATATAAAATATTATACACTTTTTCCTTGTGAAATTGTTAGTTTTCTAGAAATATTTCACTTTATCTAAGTAAAAATAATTCCATTGGAATGTGACTTATAGGTCCTTTTTGAACACATAAGTAGTCTAAATTGTCCTATTAGATTCAAAATTATTCATGGGGTCAAGGTTAACTGCAGATTATAAAACAGGTAATGTATTATATGCAAAACTTAAAAAAAAAAAAAATAATATGGAATAACATCCCCTGTCATGGTAACCAATCAACTTACAGGGTTAGCCCAATATATATCACTCCATTGTAAAATGAATTAATAACTTTGGATATGTCAATCTCAAGATATCTGTGTAATACAATGTATATATAAACATTCACAATGGATATTTGCTCCATATAATACAAATTTCTTGTCTGCAATCAAATTCACCTCAATTAAGGGATTCATTCTCGATTCCAAAAGCTGAACTTTTTTCAACAATCTGATAAATAAGGTATCCATGCAATGGTTACAAGGATCTGACGACACTCTCTTCTACTTTCTATACTGGCAATTATTAAAGCAGCCATACTTTCTTATCTGGCAATTATTACATCAGCCAATGAAAATTCAGCCTCAAATTTTTGAAGGTTTGTATCATTAAAATAAAACCAGAGGATCTCAAAAGGTCTCTAAAGGAGAAAATAAAACGAAGTGTTGTCTTATTCTTAAAAGCCAAGCCTGGATACAGGATCTGTATTTCAATGTGATCTGATTTTTCAGCATCACTTTAAACAATCTACAATTGACCATGCTTACCTTTACTACTTTTGTTTTGTTTATCATTTTCATCCATTTTATTAACTTTTTCTTTTGTCTTTGAATCTACCATGGGATCTTTAAGCACCATTTTTAAGGCATCTAACTGTTGTTTAACTTTCTGATATTCCTATGAAGTAAAAGTAATAATAAAAATAAAATATGAATTATTTAAAGAGCTTAAAATATTGTAAAGACAATTGTCTCTGGTTGAATATGTTAACCTCTAGATGTGTTTTAAGTTTTTGTGTCATTTGGTGTGTATCTCATTGACACATACTCCACATCTTCATCTATAAATATATTATATAATTTTAGAGTCAATTCAGGATTTACAAATGGCACTTTCTAAACTAGAGGCTCTCATGAGCCTGTGTCGCTCACCTGTATTTACTGATGCTTTGGAAATCATGTAAAATAAGGTTAAAATCATAATTAATAGTATTAGATATTATAATGATATGTAAGATATAACAAAAAACTGCAAAATTTTTGTAAAATTACTAACTCAGGGGCAGCAACCCAACAACGGGTTGTCGGATTCATCTGAAAATTTCAGGGCAGATAAATCTAAATCTGATGAACATTTTTGCCACCTGTCAGATTTGCTCTAAATGCTTTAGTTTCAGAGATATAAACCAAAAACTGCATTTTACCCCTATGTTCTATTTTTAACCAAGTCGGCCATGATCATGATGATGGTTGGAAGGCGGGGTCATCGGACAAATTTTTTAAACTAGATACCCTGATAATGATTATGGCCAAGTATGGTTAAATTTGTCTCAGTAGTTTCAGAGAAGAGGATTTTTGTAAAAGATTACAAAAATTTACAAAAATTTGTTTAAAATTGACTATTAAGGGCAATAACTCCTAAAGGGGTCGACTGACAATTTTGGTCATGACAACTTATTTGTAGATCTTATTACTTTGCTGAACATTATTGCTGTTTACAGTTTATCTCTATCTATAATAATATTCAAGATAATAACCAAAAACTGCAAAATTTCCTTAAAATTACCAATTCAGGGGCAGCAACCCAACAACAGGTTGTCAGATTTGTCTGAAAATTTAAGGGCAGATAGATCTTGACCTGATAATCAGTTTTACCCTATGTCAGATTTACTCTAAATGCTTTGGTTTCAGAGATATAAGCCAAAATTTACATTTTACCCCTATGTTCTATTTTTAGCCATGGCGGCTATCTTGGTTGATTGGCGGGGTCATCGGACACATTTTTTAAACTAGATACCCTAATGATGATTGTGGCCAAGTTTGGTTAAATTTGGGCAAGTGGTTTCAGAGGAGAAGATTTTTGTAAAAAGCTAACGACGACGGACGCCAAGTGATGAGAAAATCTCACTTGGCCCTTCGGGCCAGGTGAGCTAAAAAGAACTATTAGTTCAAATTTAATGTACAGTGTCGCAAACTTATATGTACCAGTACTGGTATATATATCAGTATTTTCTTGAGAAAATCTTTACCTGCGTTATATTAAGTTTATTCTCTCTTTCCAGCATACCTGTGTGCATTGATATAATGTATCAAATTCTCCATTTTCTTCTTTTTCTTTCTTTTCTTCTTTCTTTACAGCTTCTTTTGATAATTTGTCTTTTTCTGAACCTGACAGATAATACCCAGCTTTCTCAAATAAAGCATGTAATCGTTTTTTATATCCCTGAAATCATATGATTTACAAATTTGATTATAGACCATTTTAAAGTACATGCACAGCACATCTACTCTCTGAATAGTTGTCTAGAATGTTTTAATGATAAATTCAGGCATAGCCATTTGTATGTTGAAGATTTTCATATTTGCAAAATTCAGGAAGATATTGCATCCCATTTAAAAATAAAAATAACTTTCAGCATCATCAGATAAAAAAGATAAAGTGCATCGCATATCTATGTGATATCTATTTTCAAAACAAATTAGGGGTCCTCCATATTGTCAACCATTTTCCAAAGTGCAAAAAAAATACACTTTTTTTAGACCCCCACCCTCCCTAAAATGTATACAACAACCATTATTACCAACAATTATTATATGTCTGGACCAAAATGGTTAATCATATTTTTTTAGCACCTTTATAACCAATAATGAGTTCTATTTGATTCTTTTCAATGCTGTTTTTTATATATGCACATTTTGAAGTACAATTTCGCTATATTTACAAACGCACAGTGGATACCTTTATTTACTACAATAATAAAATTAAAAAAAACCAAAATACTCTAGGAACAAGGGTAAAAACTTGAATTTTTAAAAAGCGTCAGCAAAAAATGTTGATTTTTAACCCTGTATCCCTTTTGTGCATTCTGCACACATTCAAAATGGTTGACATTTATGGATTACCACTTAGCTACAATATAATTCACAGTGAACTCTAACAAAGTTTTTTTTATTAATCAAATGAAAAAAATGGCAAAGTTTTTACCTTATTTGTAATTTCTTCATTCACTAGTCTGCCTTCTAATAACTCCCACTCTTTACGTAACTCCTCGGATAGTGTAGGGAACACCAGCATAGCATGAGGATGACAGGCGTATGGAGTATTAAAGTTCATGTGATACTGACACGTTGATGGTTCTGATACATTTACTATTTCATTTTTATTCCCACATCTCAAAAAAACCTTCAAAAATATATATTATTTGTCTATTAAAATAATTTCTACAACAACAAATAAATCTTAAATCAATACTATACGGATAAGGTATTTTCTAAGTTAAAGTTGTTAGACATATACGATAAATTATTTTTCTATGTTATTGAATAAAATATGAAAAAACTGTACAAAGCAAACAAGTAAAATGTAACTTTAACCAGTTAATTAGTGACTAAAGGATCCTGAAAATTTTTTTCACACAATTTCGGTCATTTTGAGATGACTTAAAAGTTGGTGCCTTTTTTTCAAATTGTCGAAATCACACTAGATTCATAGCATCAACGAACTTGTATTGACTGTTTCGTCACATTTACTTCATGAATTTCCTTACCATCTTTCTAAACACGTTCAAGAACAGTTTAGGGAAGGCAACGGTTAAAAATTGAAATGATTTTAATGACTCAAAATAGTAAATTTCTCGGACATCGCTTCATTTCTTTCGATTTTGAAGACGAAATTAAAACCGGAAGTTTTGCACCCTTTTATCTTTCCTTTTTCAATTGATGCACATAGTTCGTCTATTATGCTGCACTGATACCAAATAACGTTTCCCCTAATGTATTTGTTCTTGAGTTACTTTCTAATAATCATACTGCGTCACCATATTTCATTGTAGTCAAAGTGATATTTTATATGTATGCAATCCATTTCAATAGCTAACTTTCTTTACCTCCATTGTCAAATTTTCATTAAATTGTTTTTATTATGCCTTCTGATTGTTTGTACTTTTTAATTTATGGTTATTAATTCCTTTGTTAAACAAAGAGTAAAAATATAAATAAGAACTTAGCCATTTTTAAATGGAACCTATTAGTTACCATGGTTACTGGGTCCTAATTCTTATGTTATTTCAAAGACATTCATCAGTAATCAGTGAATATCACAGCATATTGACGAATCAATGATGGGCCTCCTTGATCATGCTGAAGATGTGAGCTCAGTAGTACATTCTTTAATCTTTAAATCAATTTTTCAGATGGAGATCACAAATAGGAGACTTTTCTTTGAATCTACTCTTTTTAATTTCCTTTTACATTTCTGATTAAAGAGTTTCCAAAAATCATGATTGAAATTACTCAGGCACCTCTAAAATTTGTTCTATATATATGCTAGTAAGATTCATTACCTTCATTGATCTAAATAAATTTCCACAGTTATCTCCCTCTCTCATTACCATGGCAACAAAGGTATTATTATGAATTTCCCATTCCTGCCAAACACTACAAAATTACAATGTCATCAACTTTATTGCATGTTTACGATGTACCTGACACCAAAAAAAAAGTGTAAGTATTTTTTTTTAAATAAAAGTACCAATCTAATCTAAAATTGCTTTGAACTGTTTGAAATTCATTGAAATTTGTTTACTTACAACTGCAGGAGGTAAAATATTTCTAGGACAAGCCAGCAACAAAGCAACTTTCTGCTGAGTTATCATTAACCCAATATCATTCCTTCTATATATGGTATTGACAACAAATACTTGGTAAATTCAGTCTTGTTCAGAAAAATGACAAGTAGATATACCATTTAAAATTGTTTCCATATTACTGCTAAAAGGTAAGGATATCTTAAATGTTAGATATAAAAAAATCATCATAAATTGTGTTGAAGTTTACCAAATGACATGAATTTACTACATGCATCCTAATGCTTAAACCTTTCACTACTTTTGAATGCCAGATTATCTCCCTTTCCATTTACATTGTGGAAAGTATCTACTATATATTAGTAATGTGAGATCATATTTGAATTTTAGTGGTCACTTTTAACTTTTTTATACAATGGTAAACATTAGTAAATTGGATAATTTATATAGTAAATAGGGATGGCAACTCGGTCGGAAGGCTGAGTACTCGAGTACTATTTTACTACTCGGATACTCGTTTGCCTTTTTAAAATCTTGAGACGTTTCCCTCAAATTTCCCCCACTTAAGTTCCTTTTGAAATATCCCTTCGTACTTTTAATTTAAAATATATTAACAGCGTAAAAACAACTCACATCAAAAATAACATTTAAATTCAGTACATTAAAATGCCTCCACCAAAATCAGCCGTATGGAGATACAAACAATTAACTTTCTTATCTTCTGAACAAAGAAAAAAGGCAGAGGAATTTTTAGAAGGTCTTATCGATGAAATGCCTCTAAAACGGTTGACAGAGACAAGCGGCTCTGATACTCCGCCACCAAAAGAGGCAACGACGACCGGAATCACAAGACGAGTTAGAACTACAAAGTTATTTACTAGATAAATCTGATTTCAATAAATCTCCGCTTGAATGGTGGTCTGATACCCACGTTTATCTATTATTGCAAAACGTGTGTTAGCAGTTCCAGCAATGTCAGTTCCTTCTGAGAGGATATTTTCGTGTGCCGGACTTGTCGTAACTAAACTTAGGAACAGACTTTCAGCTGAAGTTGTAGATCAGATAATTTTTTTAAACAAGAACAAGATAAAAGTCACCTGCATTGAACCCCACACATCTGATTAGTGACATTTAACGGTGTACAAACACAGTTCAATAACTTATACTACAAGCCGTAAACTTACCTTTGATCCTCATATTTTCCCACCTTTAATTGTTAATCAATAGTTATTTGTAAACATGATTGGTATGAGATGTACATTTAATGTAATAAATGTTTAAACTTTGTTAATCTTTAATCTATAGTTGATACATATATTGTCTACTTTGTTGGACTTTATATGCAAATATTTATGATTTTATTGGAATTTGGTTCATGAACATGTACACAAACAATAATTGCTATTATGATAGATTATTTGTAGAAACGGCGGTCGGTAATTCATTGTTTAATTGACACAAAAACAGAGGATCAAGCTATTTTTGTTGTACGTTTGTCTTTCGTTAATATGTTTATGAAAGGTAATAACAAAATCACTGCATCACACCTAAAATTTAAACTTTCAGTAGATGTTTAAGATTCATCCGAGTACTCACGAGTACTCGAGTATCATGACCGAGTATCCGAGTATTAAATTTCACATCTTTTGACATCCTAATAATAAATTAAAAACTGAAATCTCAATAAATTAAAATTTCTGCAACTTGAAAAATAACCAAAATTAATATCAAAAGGGGCTTTAATGCGATGACTTATATATTTTAGTTCATTCTATTAATAACTTTACAACTGGCACAGATCAGTTCAACTTCAATCAGGTGTGGATCGATCAATTTTGGTTTAAGGCCTGTTGAACCATAATTTATTGCCAAACATTCATGCAGCAATGTAAAATATTTGTAAGGTAGATTGGAAATATTTTCATATCATTCCAAATTAATAACCAGGGATACACACCCCTTAAACACCCTCTAAATCAGCCCCTCGTAAGTCATTTCAAATTTTTCTGTTTCCCTTAATGAACCAGGTAGAGCATAGCATTTGGCATTCCATGTACTAAGAACACTGTTATTACCAGCTTAAAGACCAAGGCTAGGGTATAAAAGGGAGACAATCCATGAAAATATGGATATATTAAAATTTTATGAAAATAACCTTTGAAACTAATCTTACCCCAGAATTCCATTGTAAGGATTCCACCTGTATGATTCTTCATGTTGTGATACATTAGAAAATGGACACAATTTATATGTATATCTGCAAAAAAGAAGCAGTCACTGAGTGCTAGATATGTAACAATCATTCTATTTAAAATTCATCTAATTTGTTCAACATGTACAAGAATTCCTCTTTTGGATTACCTATTAAATTTCTTGAATATTATTCAAAAACAACAATTTTACATCTCTAAATTTTTTTACTGTCTTAAATAACTATTGTAACATTTGTCAAGAGAAATAAATTATTTTTGCCACCAGGTGAAGATTGGAATATTGAATGTGTGCAAGTTATAATTACTATACATAATGTCTGTACTGGTAACTTAGGATATACAAATTCTGCAACTATTAATATATTCAATGTCTGTAAATAAGAATATTCAATGCCTGCAACTTACTACGTGTTTACATAATGTCTGTACTGGTAACTTAGGATATACCATGTCTGGAACTATTATACACAATGTCTGTAACTAACATAAACAATCATGTCTATAACTTACGAATCTATCTGTTTACTAAAACATTTGTTGACCAATCTTGTAAGATGTTGAGGACCAGAAAACTTTGATGGAGGAACTCTCATCTTCAACCGGTTGTCTTCTTGTTGGGTTTGCTGATTGTTGAAATTGTTCATCCTGAAAATTATCATATATAATTATTAAGTTAATTACTAGACCATCAGATTTAGGTATGATAGATTTTTCTTAAAATCATCTGAAAGAGAGATTGTAGACTAATTTTGAAAATATAGGTCAATGTACTTATCTTCCAAAAAATATGGGTTCACAATTGCAATTTGACAATTTGATATACATGTAGATAGAGAGTGATCTTTCTTTGGTTAATTGTCTATCTAGGTAACAATCATGACAATACTGTAACTTAATTTGGCTATTATTATTGAGATTAAAGATGATAAATAGTCATAATGGAAATAATTTTAAAATCAAATGATTTTATATATTTATGGATGGTTTTTTTTTCTTTTGAAATACATATATGTCAAACAAGTTTACAAATCTGTAAAGTACTCTGGTGGATCAGGACTTTTAAAATATTTTTGATTCTTTTATAGCGAAAGGCCTTTTTTTTTTATTAAGTGAGTACATACATTTATCATAAAAATAAGATGTTGTACGATTGCCAAATTAAATGAATGAGACAACTACATGTATCTACCAGAGACCAAAGGATGAGGATGTTAACAACTATAGGTCACTGTTCAACTTTTAACAATGAGCAAAAACCTCAGTCCTAAACTATTTAGTAAGTTATAAACGGCCCCTGCATAACAAAATGTGAAAAGGAGGCAAGCATGGGGTACTTACCCATAGCTTGATGGTTCTTCAACTATCTTCATATTAACCATTTCAATACCTGTAAAGTAAATATGCAAAGGTATGAAAGTTTTTATGAATACATGTAAGCACCAATTAGTTGATTTTCTGCATAGAGATAGAAGAGTAAAATATCAGCTGCTACTAGCAATATGAAGCATTGTAGTGAGACGGCAAAGTGAAAGAAAAGCATGTTGTGTACAGCAGATGACTATTTACAATACCAGTATGCATGAGGAAAATCTAACTATTTTCAGCTTACTATTGTATTTGTGTGGTTTTGATGATCAATATATGAACAGTAACAGGGGTGGATCCAGAACATGGCTCTCCTTGCATTTCATAAAATACATTTTTCTTTTCTTCTCTCCCTCGCTCTCTTTTTGTACATACATCGGCAGTTTTATATTTTGTAATTCATTAAATTCAATGGCTAAAAAAATTGTCTTTTGTCATGTTTGTTTTTATTTCATAGCAAAAAAATATATTTTGTAAATGTATGAAAACAAGCTTCCTTTCAATAATCATGACTATGTCTATTTTCAGATTTGTTGTTTTTACAATTATGGAACTTTGATTGTAAAAAAATCCAAATTACCATTTCTTTGTATGGAACAGAAGTTATTAAGCGAACTTCTGGTTTGTTTCAAAAACTTCTATAAATCTATCAAAAAACATCCTTCAAATGTTCATAAGATACATGTATAACAGTCTGTCAGTTATCACTATTCATATCTATGAATTTTGTTTTATATATAAAATAAAGAGATATGGTTTAATTGCCAGTCAGACAACTATCCATTAGAGTCCAAATTATATAGGTAATGGTACAACCTTCCACAATGAGCACTACCCATACCATATATTCCACTATAAAGAATTTTCAACTGCCTTCTTGTCTTTACTGATCCGATGATTAAAGACTTTTCATCAATACTTAGACTTTTTTATATTTCAAATATGTCTGATTAAGTGTATTAGGCCTTAACATTTATTTATGAAGATTATTGTAGCACATATTGACAGCTCTCAACTAAATCAAAATTACCAAGTTTAATATTAGATGATTTAAAATTATAGTAATACTAAGAGGGGGAAAAATGTTAATGAATAATGTTCATGATGTTCAATATATTAACATGACCTTATTGAAATTAAAACTTTAGTTACTCTTTCAGAAATGACAACCATGACAATATAGCTGATGTTCCCAGGGTAAGGGCTGCACTCATTCAAATATGCAGGAGCCATACTCAGCTGTTGTCAGTTTTCCTCCTGTATATCTTAATGAGGTGTAGAATTTATATTTACCTTTATATACTCTGGCCTTTATATTTTTGATGCATACATGTACCTTTAAAACTTGATTCAAATTATTTTAATGCTTATTAGTTACTGCATGAATGTCAGTTTGTCTGCATTTCATGTTTGCTTTTATATGCCGTGCTTATTATTCATTGTTATTTGCTATAACTTGTTGTGCTTTGATCAGATGTGGATCCAGGATTTTGAAAAAGTGGGGCCTGGGGACCCCTAAACTAGGCTACATTTGGAGTGGAACAGGTAAAACGTCTGCATTAACCATAATAAATGTAGCTCCATAAGGAGGGGGCCTGGACTTCCTACCCCCTCCCCCTAAATCCGGCCTCTGTTGCTAGTAATATTTACAAAAATGTATGCTTACATTGTATGCGCAAAAATGCACAAAGTACTATTTGTTGTATGTATTTTATGCCTTGTGTTGATCATATGTATGTTGGTTAAAAACAATATTTCAAAACACATATTTATACAAGAAAAACTTGTTTTAAAAAACAAATCTGTACCAGACTCTAAGGATGTCATTACTGTAGATTGGGAAGTTCGTTATTCAGTGGATATATATTTGTATATACTATAAAACCACTTTTAGCGTTAATAATTGACTTTTAAATATTCACATTAATAAAATAACACATAATGAAACAATATTATACTGTTATTAACACAATTTGAGGTCACCAGACTCTTACAGACTTCTACACTGTGTTCAGTATGACCGTCTTGCGAAGCCAAGGTAATATAGCCCAACCACACATGTACACATACAACTATATATGTTATATAACTGGAGTATGTTACATGGGGTGGAACATGATAATTATTAATGAGAGAGAAGATCAATTCTTTTATTGTTTGCAACTGCCACCGTTGCCTCACATCAGCTACACACTCAGTGGATGGCATACCCCAAGATTTTGAGTCAGATCAACAGAACGAACAAATTGAAATTCATTTTAAAATCCTTTCCAGATCAACAGAAGGCTTGAGCGTACAATCAATGTTCAATGTGTTCACAGTGTTTGCTTGTTTTTAATATTTCCTTACCTTTCAAAACGGTAAAATATGCATGAAAAAGAAGGTAAAATATGATTTTCTTGAACATCTTAACAAATTATTGATGAATTATCTCCCCCTTTAAGGTCTAAAAACAGGACAGATAAAACCAGGACAGTTATTTTTGATACGTTTTCATCTGTTACTTTTGTTTTACTCAACATATTGTTGAAATATAAACTGTATAATAAAGAACAGGGTATATACTTACGTTATTTGTTAAAAAAATTAAAATAAAAAATTAATAAGTTAAAAAAAATCTGCCAGGACAGTTAAATTTTAAGAAAAAAATGGCTGAAATTGCCGAGAAAAATTTACTTATAATTGAAATAATTTCTCCAAAACAACTGTCTGGCATAATATTTTTGTACGATTATAAAGTTAAGGGAATAATCATTCTAAAGATCTAAAATTTAATATAATTTTCGATTTTTAAAGCTAAAAAAATCTGCCAGGACAGTAGCCGATTACGTTTGAAATTTTGTTGAAATTACCTCAAAATCGTAATATAAAGTTAAATATCTTCTTCAAAATGAATGTCTGGTAAGCAAATGTTGGTTCATTGGAAAGTTTAAAGTATAAGCTTTAAGAAAATATAAAAAAATATGGACATTTATTTCATTAACACAAAAAAAATCTGCCAGGACAGTAGCCTACTCCGTTAAATTTCTGTATAAATGGCGGAAATTCACAACACAATTTCTAACTATAAATGAAATACTTTCTTTATTTCGATTGTTTGACATACTATTTTGATACTATCATAAAGTAACAGACACAATTATAATATAAAACTAAAGAAATTGATCAATTTTCATTCTTAAAGTAGATAAAAATCTGCCAGGACAGTAACTTATTTGTCTTAACTTGTGAGGAAATTTTTTTCAAATCGAAATAGAAAGTTGAATAGAATATTATTATTTTTGTTATTCGTTGTAAAGTATGAACAATAAATTTTGTGAAAAGAAACAAAAATATTCATTTGATAATAAAACCTCAAAAATCTGCCCAACAGTCGTCCTATAGCTAATTAAATAATTGGTTGGCACGTGCCAAACTTAAGACCTGTCATTGAATCTGTGTATTTGTGTATTCTGTTATGTCAACCGTAAACCGAGCGAGTGGTAATGAGTACCTATGAGAAGATATTTAGTTTTTTATGTTCTAATTATTTACTAGGAATACAATTGAAAACAAAACACATCGAAACACTAATTGATTGTATATTTAAAAGCAAGGAGACAATCGTAAGTATTCTGTCATATCCTGACATGAGTAAGGTCACTTCATTGCCACCAATAAAACCTAAAGCAGGTGATGTTTTTGTTATTGAGTCTATCAACACGGAGGACTGGAAGTGTGATCAGTACTTGTGGATTCGTGATGGAGGTAGAACAATTAAGGCCAATGATGTTGAAATAGGTAAAGTTTTTTACAAAGTAAGGATTCCAGGTACTGAGATCAAATCTGGACGTGTAAGACCGAGGTTTTCATTAAAATTCAAAAAGGTAGGCTATTGGTTGACAAATAGACCTACATTAGTTTTGGTACATTACACTGGCGATGAGACGATATATACCCCTATGGCACATGGTAATAGCAAACATGATGGTGAGTTTAAAAGAACTATGCCATCCGTTATTGATAAGGTAAAGGACCATGTAGGTAGTGAGGGTGCCAAAAAAGTATATAGGACTATGGTATGTAATGAACAAGTCGATGGCAACAGTTGACACTTTATCCAGATTTAGTGGCTGTTGTTAGTTTACCAGAAATCATCACTCAATTTAACCAACTCTTAGATGTTAAATCTGATGAACAGCTTTATTTATCTTATGACACCACATTTAACCTAGGTGATTGTTACGTTTCGGCCATAGTATTCAAACATATTCTTTTCAAAGAAACACCTCTTATTCCTTTGGCTTTTGTTATTCATGATAGAAAATTTGGTAGTGTTCACGAGACTTTCTTTAACTTTTTGAAATGTGCTATTCCGAAAATTTCAAAAAAACGAATTCCCATTGTAGTGGACAGGGAACCTGGTATACGAAAAGCTATTAAAAATATTTTGCCTGATTGTCCTATACTTACATGCTGGAATCATTTACGAAACGATTTTAAGTACTGGTTGAATCAAAATAAAGTTTCTCCTGATAATATCAGGCTATATCATCATCAGTTAAAACAGATGCTACAATGTGACTCTGAGAACGAGTTCTTAGAGCTTTCTAAAGATCTGACATCTAAATGGACATCCGAAGTTGTGTCATATTTTGAAAAAGAGCTTAAAACTGATATTTTAGAGAGATCAGGAAAATGGGTTTTAGAACAATTTGAAGGTTTATATGACCCATACTCTGGTATCACTAACAATCTGTCAGAAAGTTATAACGCTGTTTCAAAACAAGAAAACGATTGGAAAGAGTTACCAGTTGATATGCTTGCTTTAGGTTTTCATTTTCTACAAAATTTTGATTACTACGAGATTCTTAGAGGTTTGGCAGGTGTTGGAGACTATCATTTGAAAACAGAGTTTTCGAGGGCAAAAATTGACATACAAGATTTGTTCATACCTAAGAAACTCATAGCACCATCCGATATAATTTCGTACTTGAAAACAGAACACGTTAATAAACCACAGTTTTCGTCTCCGTCTTCTGTAATGACAGAAACAATAGAAGATCATTCCGATTCTAAAACTGAACATAGTAAACCCACCACTTCAAATGAAAAAGACAGTCCAATCATTAATACTATGTTTGACTTTCCTGCTTTTGTAAGTAGTCAACACGCTTTGGCAAAGTATATAGTTGACAACAACCTAATCACACTTGTTCCATCTCAAGGTGCTTTCATTGTTCAAGGTCGAAATGGTAAGTATTGTGTCACCTTATTCCCGAAGGAAAGTTGTCAGTGTCCATCTACTACTACATGCTTTCATATCCTTGCAGCAAAAATGAGCATTGGCCAAGAACCCATTGAAAAAAGAACAGTAGTAAATCTCAGACTTTTAACAAAAAACAACAGAAAGAGAGTTGACAAAAAATCAGGTAAAAAACAACCTAGACAGAACGATTACGATCCTGTTGTAGAACCAGCACCAGACTCGGCTTATTTAGTCAACACACCAAAAACACCGTCACAAGGACATTCAACACAAAAATCACTACAAAAATCCGCATTAAAAACAAAATCAAAAACACCACATTCTAAAAAGAAACTACACTTCAATTTGGAGACCGTTAACGAGGACGACAATGATTCATGTCATATCTCACCAGACGAAAAAAAAGATAACATAGTTACATTAGATGAGACACCACCAAGTAAAAAAATGAAACTTGAATTTCCAACTCCGCCGATTTCGATTGAAATTGAACAGGAAAAAAAACCATGGGTAGGTACATTTACACAAGTAGACAAAAAAATAATTTCAGATAGAAAGTGTTTAACTTCCGACATTGTTAATTATGCACAAAACATTCTTTTAAAACAGTTTCCATTAATCCAGGGTTTCCAGAACACATGTTATGCTCCAGTTTTCTGTAATCAACAAAAAAAATGGCTTTCTGAGACAAGTTTTACACCTACACAGGGTCCGGCTGTACAAATTCATCATACAGGACATTCACACTGGGTTACTTCTTTAACCAAACAATCAAATGAAGTTTATATATTGGACAGCATGTACGACACACTTACAACATCTTCAGAAATACAACTTTCACAAATATATTCACATGGTAAAAAACGTCTGTTGGTCAAGATACCAGAAGTTCAGAAACAAACTAATTCCATAGATTGTGGGTTGTTTTCAATTGCAAATGCTGTAGAATTTTGTTTTACAAGTTTTTCAGGTGGAATACATGTAGAATTTGACACAGAAATTTTTAGAGAACATCTTGTGATTTGTTTAGAAAAAGGTGAATTTATTCCATTTCCAAAGAAAAAAATTGGCATGAAAGGTAAACCGAAATATAAAACTAGTGTAGTGGAATGTAACTGTCAGTGTGGCAAATGTGATTCAGAAGAAGACATGTTAGGGTGTGAATGGCAGAAAGGAGTTAAAAAATGCAACATTTGGAAACACGTTTCGTGTACGGGGATAAAAGAAGGTGACACATTCCTGTGCTCTAAACACATTACTAATTAGTGAATAAACACCTATGAGGATTTGACACCAATCAGTGACTTTGAAGTTTTTATTACTGTCAAAACTTAATTTAATTTGTTAAGAGTTTGCTTCCGATATCAAGGAGATTTTACAGTTTTTAATTTTTGTGTTTTTTTTTTTTTATTGTATTGTATGATTATTTATATATATGCATGTATGTGTATGAAATGTTTTTGATTAATAAAATATAAGCCCATGCCCTTTCAATGATCTGTCTGCTACCTTTAATAAACTGAAAAGAGATCAAATTAATCAACATAACGAAATAAGTAAATATTTTTTTAATGAACACACCAATAATTATGTTTTCTAAATATGTTCACTTTCATGAATATATCACTGATAAAGCTTAAACTGCAAACTTTGAATAGAAAAAACAAAAAAATCTTTGAGAATTATTTTAAATTTAAAACAAATTTCTTCACTAGTTCCAATGTAACAAGGTACTGTCCTAGCATATTTGTTTTACTTTAAGAAATGATTAAAAAATAAATTTATAGATTTTTTGAATGATTTGGTCCTAATAATATAAAAAAAAGTATGCCAGACAATGGTAATAAAATTAGAATGTAGGACAGAAAGTCACAGGACAAAAAGTCACGGACAAAAAGTCACAGGACAAAAAGTCACACTTCAGTTTTGAGATTATTTTTCTTTAAACAAGAAAGCACTAATTTAAAAAAATAAATTTATGTTTTTTCTTGAACCATTATATATGAAGCAACTTTGTAATTAAAATGTATTCAATAAATATCAATAATGATCAAATAATTGTTATGAAAAAAAAATGTCAAAGTGGCTTGGTACTTAAATGGCTTCATTGTGTCAAGAAATATATCCTTTGCATAATCAAAATTTAATAAATTTTCATTTATCAAGGCTTATGAACAATTTCCTAAACTTAAAAATTAATAAATGTAATAAAAAGAAGTTATTTCAAGATCTTTCTCTTATATATTCAAACAATTGTCAACAAATTATTTGTGACTTTTTGTCCTGTGACTTTTTGTCCTATCAAATTTGTGACTTTATGTCCTGTGACTTTTTGTCCTGTGACTTTCTGTCCGTTTACCTAAAATTACTATTTCATTTATAATTAAAAAATTACGTTGATTTCCGCCATTTATTCAAACATTTAACATAGTTGGCTACTGTCCTGGCAGATTTTTTTTACGTTTACAAAATAAAAGTTCATAAAATTTTATATTTTCATAAAGCTGATAATACAAACTTTCCAATGAACACACATTTTCTTGCCAGACATGCATTTTGAACAAAATATTCAAATTTATCCATTGATTTTAAGCGAATTTCAACAAAATTTCTGACGCAAAAGGCTACTGTCCTGGCAGATTTTTTTTGTGTTAATGTAATAAAAGTCCATATTTTTTTATTTTTTCTTAAAGCTTATATTTCAAACTTTCCAATGAACCAAAATTTGCTTACCAGACATTCATTTTGAAGAAGATATTTAACTTTATATTTTGATTTTGAGCTGATTTCAACAAAATTTCTAACGTAATAGGCTACTGTCCTGGCAGATTTTTTTACCTTTAAAAATCGAAAATTATATTAATTTCTAGATTTTTAGAATGAGTATTCCCTAAACTTTATAATCGTACAAAAATATTATGCCAGACAGTTGTTTTGGAGAAATGATTTCAATTATAAGTAAATTTTTCTCGGCAATTTCAGCCATTTTTTTCTTAAAATTTAACTGTCCAGGCAGATTTTTTTTAACTTATTAATTTTTTATTTTATTTTTTTTTACAAATAATGTAAGTATATACCCTGTTCTTTATTATACAGTTTAAATTTTAACAACATGTTTGTTAAAACAAAAGTTACAGATGAAAACGTATCGAAAATAACTGTCCTGGTTTTATCTGTCCTGTTAATAGACCTTCCCTTTTTATTCGTCTATTTTCATTTCAACTACTTCCGTTCAAAGTGAAAGTTAAAATGACCCATGCTCCTCCACAGTGACACTTTCACTCAGACAGTGTAGATATCTAACTTTACAACAAAAGGAAAAAAGAAATGGTGATGGTCAATGAGAACAATAAACATTCTAGATAAGTTTTTATTATTGTCAAGTATGTGACGAAGAATTGATGTTGCATCAGGCTTTTATTTGACTTTCATAGTGAAATTGACATATTTTGATCTTGAATTTCAGTTTTAGATTTTTTATCATCATTCAAAGATAAAATATAAAAGATGGATAAATTTGGCGATACAGTTAGAACTACTGCTCAGGAGTTTGATGAGAAATTAACCCCAATCAAAACTTCACTGGCAAGTTTTCTGAAATCTGGAATTTCAAAGTTGAACTCAGTTATAAGGTTTGAACAGGTTGCAAACCAGACAGATGGAGCTGTGCAAACAGCTGTGAATACCACATCAGAAGTTTCAGTACCTGATGATCCTGCAGTACGAATGATGATTGGTAAACTTCTTTCAACAGGTTTAAGTTTAGTAGTGTCTATTGGTCTTTCATATTTTCTTGTCAAACTTCTGACTAATGCACTGGATCCTACAAGGAAAGAGAAGTCTGCAGCACACCAAAAGGTAACTATATTTATTGAAATGTGTCATAGACTTATGTGAGATGTGCTGTTCATTAAAAAAATTGACAGAAAAGTTCCAATTAATAAACAGCGGTACATTTTCTTGTATATGCATGACAAGTTATAGCAACATGCTTAAAAAATGAAGAAAATCACTTAATGTTAATGCATTTTCTGAACAAAATGATAAAAATAAGAAGATGTGGTATGATTGCTAATGAGACAACTCTCCAAATGATCATAGGTTTGCAAGTATAGGTTTTTTGTCATGCCTGCACTTTTTATATGTTATTGTACATGTAGCTTACATTTTTGTACATGTACTTTACAGTATGTGTTTTGCTTATTGATGAAGGCTGTATGGTGACTTGTAGTTGTTAACATCCTAGTCCTTTGGTGTCATGTGGATACATATTTATGTCTTGACATTCATGACATTGGCAATCATACGGTCCGAGTACACAGTTATTTCGTAGTGCATTTCTTTTAGACAATAAATGAAAATTAAAAAAATCCCACCTGCGCTTTCTCAATAATATTTTTACAGTGTGTTGTACTACTTTTGGGACAAATTATATTAAAATTATAGAAAACTTCATCGGCTCTAACTCAAAATATGGACAATTTCATGTTAAGGGGGTCTTCAAATCTTTTGACAGCTTCCGAAGTGCTAATTTTTAACATTTTTCAGCTGGACCAAATCACTACTTTACTTTAAAATTCATGACCCAATTTTTTTACAGTGTCATTTCACCCCCCTACTTACTATTTGAGTCATAAAACATGGAGAAATAAATTTGGAAGGGGTATAAAAAAAATCGACAAGTAACACACTGTCCACACTAGGGACTATATTCGTGGACAACGAAAATCAAAGGACGATAGCTGTGTACCCGGACCTAATAGGGTGGAAAAAGTTGACCAATCTTAATGAAACTTGGTATGACCAAAGCTTATTAAATTATAAGACTGCTTACAAAGTTTCATGTCAATAGGATATATATTATAGACAATATGACTAATTCTATATTCAACTTTGTGTGTTAAATTTAGACGTTAAAATTGAAAATTTTCAACTATCAACATTTGGGGCTTAAAAAATTAAAATATTGCAAAAAAATACTTTTGAAATGCCTTAATATATAATATATTATGTATTAAAAGCAATAGAGTACTCATTTGATTTATCAGACTTATCATTATTATTGAAAAGTCAAATTTATATGAGCCTGTGGCTAAAAATGGAGGTTTTCCAATGACAGTCAGGGGTACTACTTGTACAAGTAATCTTTATTTACTTGAAGAAGTAAATAAAATATACTTATACAAGTTAATTATATTGTTTGAATAATCTCCCCTTTATTTTCTAAAAAATTTACTTGTATAAGTAAATTTTTTTTACAATCCCACAAAAATTCTCAAGTTTTGAGATGTAAAATCATGCCTTTAACAATTTTTCTCAGGTTAGCTCATAATTTTTGATAAGAGTTCAATGTTTCATCTCATTAATTCAACAAAGAAACTGATTGAGCAAAGATCTTAAGTATTTGCGCAAGGCCTTCAAAAATTGCTCCTTGGGGGCTTGTAAATGAGCAGTGTTCTAAAGATAATAGACAAATGAGATTTTCATTGTCCATGACATTACACTTAAATGAATAGTAAAGACATCTGCAAAGGACAGACAATTCAAAATTCTGTTCGAGCAAAGAAGTTCGAAGAATTCAAGAAAAGAAGATAGGATGACTTTTTTACTTGTATAAGTAAAAAAATATGAATGTCTAAGGGACATAACTAGGCCAAAAAATAATTTACTTATACAAGTAAATAAAATACACTTGTATAAGTATCCTACAAATTTACTTATATAAGTATATTATAATTACTTCTTCAAGTAAATAAAAATTACTTGTACAAGTAGTACCCCTGACTGAATGAAGGGGGGCCTTACATGAAGATGTAATATTTTCCAGCAATTTTAAATTTGTAAAGCTTTTTGGTTATAAATAATCCTTACATAAGTATTTAATGTACTTTAAATGGAAAGAAAACTTACAAATAACATATCACATTAGTTTAAAAGGGTCTTAGGCCAAGTAAGACTGAAAATAATTTAGGGTCAATTTAGGCCGTATCACATATTTACATTTAAAAATGCATATTGAAGCTATAGGAAATAAAATTTTGTGTCCTTTCTATCATTTCTATACTCAGGTGACATGATACAATAAATCTGAGCACAAAAAGACTCTTGCATTCAACTTTTTTTGCAGACAGTATGGTCTGATACAAAGATTTTTCACTTTTTAGTGAAAAACATGCATGCAATTTTAGTCTCAACAGGCTTATATTTGAACCACTTGCTATCCTACAGAAGAAAAGAAAGATATTATGTGACATAAAACAGGTACAAAAGACATTGTTAAGTGCTTTTTATACAAATTTAGTGAGGTCTTTATAATGGACTTCAACTTTTATGTTCCAAGCTCCTCACATTTAACTTGATCCAAACAGGGCGTTAGACGATGATCATATATACAACACATTTTGCACATATTGTCTGAGATAATCTTCTTTTCTGTAGATTCAGAGTTCACAAATGAGTAATACAACTGGATTGAAGCATAGAAACACAAATATTGACACATCAAAACCTGTCAGATAGAAAGTCAGAATGCCACTTATGCATCAAAATTGAAAAAGCTATGAAATGCTTATTTTGACCATAAAATGCCAAAATTGGTCATTTTTGCAGAAATTCTATCAAATAAAAGTTTAAATCCTTTAGTTTTATGCTATTTGATAAATTGACACCATCAAATCATTCAGGGAAGTTGCCAAAGTACAGATTCTACATTTCTTGATTTCACCGGTCCCAGTACACAGTTATTTCGTAGTGCATTTCTTTTAGACAATAAATGAAAATTAAAAAAATCCCACCTGCGCTTTCTCAATAATATTTTTACAGTGTGTTGTACTACTTTTGGGACAAATTATATCAAAATTATAGAAAACTTCATCTGCTCTAACTCAAAATATGGACAATTTCATGTTAAGGGGGTCTTCAAATCTTTTGACAGCTTCCGAAGTGCTAATTTTTAACATTTTTCAGCTGGACCAAATCACTACTTTACTTTAAAATTCATGACCCAATTTTTTTACAGTGTCATTTCACCCCCCTACTTACTATTTGAGTCATAAAACATGGAGAAATAAATTTGGAAGGGGTATAAAAAAAATCGACAAGTAACACACTGTCCACACTAGGGACTATATTCGTGGACAACGAAAATCAAAGGACGATAACTGTGTACCCGGACCATACACCATCTCCTCATCTTTATATTATGAAAAGGCCAAGAAAGGGGGGGGGGGGGGGGGGGGGGGGTGGGGTGTAGCAGGGGGTAGATTTTCTAGTGGGTTGAAAACATACCCAGCTGAAAAATTGTCATTTTAGAACGACCTTGAGAGGTGTTTCTCTGTCATTCAATTATTACCTTGTAGTTACAGCAGTCCATCCATACTGGTTGGAAGTAAATATGACTTGAGTGTCTTGATGGAGAATTATTATTGGCAAGCCATGTCTGCATTAATGTCTGTTTTTACAGATTTCTGACAAATTTACAAACCAGATTTTTTTTGGCCATATAATACCTCCTTGTGTTCTTGAACCACCTACATGTATGCATGTATTTAGAATAATAGTTAATACCTACTGTCCATACCATTAACGTAGTGGCCATCAAATGACTCCTGCCTCCTCCTAATTTTGGCTACATTTCTCCGATTTTTAACTAAGGGCATTAAAGTTGTCATACTTCATAACAACACATCTGGGAAGAGTTTATGGACCAAGAATTGCATGATTGAACTTCCTGCTTTCTACACAGTTCAGCTGGGGCAGTTCTAAAAAAGTATGGAGTGTCATATAAGCCTTAAAGAATGGCTGTTGCAATCACGGCTACAGGCGGGATTGGGGGCGAAGGGGTTATGATAGGAATAAAGCATCATCTAAATGTTTTATTTTTAACTGGTAAATGTTGAAATGTTGAATATTTTTTTCAGATGTGGATTTTACTTTTTTATTTAGTACACATGAGATCAGAAATGTTTTATTTTGAACATATTTGACAGATTTTTTCCATTTGATCATGCTGATAAGATAATTTATTTGTCATGCTGGTTTTAATCTTATATTTTATACAGGCTGCTATGATGTTACAAAGGCTAGGAGTCACTGATGTTAAGGTTAGTATCAGATTAGCTTACATGTATACACATGTTATTTGTTAAACTTCTTGTACATGTTGTAGATTGATTAATGACAATGTATTACAACTTGCCTTTTGTTGGAAATTTAGAATTTGTTAGATAATAAATTTGTTAAGTAAAATAAAGTGTTTAAAATTATCAGTGGTTTATAAAAACTGGGAGAGTACCAGTTACCATCAGAAATCGACACTTTTTCTTGAAATCTTTAACAATTTAAAATGCAATTAGAAATACTCTTTACATATATTAAAGATCACCAAAAATTTGTCTTTAAATCCTCTTATTTATCAATAAAAATCTACATGAAGAGTGACTGGGGTATAGAAACATAGTCACTTATGATCTTTCTGACTGACTATTGCCCTTACCAAAGTTGGGCATCCCTTTGGCTGTGTGTTATGTATAGATTTGCAGCCACGTCTGGTAAGAATGGGGATATTAAATCAGATGACTCGTGTAGAGAGAGTGCCACATTCTCTGCATGTTTAAAGTCCTTGCAACAACTCTGAGAGAAGTCAGTAGGTGGCCTGTTGCAAAACAGAATTTTTATCCCTATCCAATAAACCCCCATTTTCCAAGTTTAATGCCCATCATCCCAGTTGACCCCCTTTTGTAGAACCAACCTATTGTATTTAATGTAAGTTTGATCTCATCCTGAAAATGCATGAAGTATTTGCCACTGGACATAAAGCAACAACAATCAATTAAAATGCCTAAAATGGTAGGTGATTGGGTAACTTGTTCCTAACCATATTTATTCCTTGGCCAGTATCTGGAATGAGCAATTTCTGATGGTTCTGCCACTACTCATATCATTGTTTTCTTTAACATGTTTAAAACATGGAATCTTTTATATAGCTTTCAGATTATGAGTTATGCATCGCTGTGAATCTTGTTGACCCTGTATCCATGGGGATCACATGGGATGATATTGGAGGTCTTAAAGATGTCATCGAACAAATCAAAGAAACTGTCATCTTTCCATTCAGGAGAAGAGAACTCTTTCTTCATTCCAAACTTCTTCAACCGCCAAAAGGTACATAAAATTGAAATAAAATTGGGTAACAGTAAAAATCAATGAAGGTGATCATGTCACATATCAAACTATGATACAAAATATATACAAATGTTATGTTCAAAGAGACATCATTGATTGCAGACTGCCATAATAGTTTTTTGTTTCATGTTATCACTTTTAATCATTCAGTTAGTTTTAACTTTGTGTTTGAACAGGATAAGGTGCTGGAAAATAGGATAAAATGTTACATAAACTCCAATAAAGTCATGAGTGTACTCCAAAATATGTTTAAAGAAATGGATATATATATTTGTTTTTTATTTGTGAATAACAAAATCTGTTACTATTTTAATTAGGAATGTTGTTGTATGGACCTCCAGGCTGCGGAAAAACTATGATCGCCAAGGCAACAGCAAAAGCAGCAGGTATGGACTATTCATTTTTACTAATTTTTTCTTACATCTTTCTTATAAAGTATGAATAAATGGAGATATAAGGGAAAAAATAATAAGTCATCAACGCAACATAAAAACCAGTCATCTAGAGATGATATACCGTCTTCTTACCAACATTATTTACATTTTCTTTAGATTTTATACTTATCACATTTTTCTCCCAAATATCATAAATGAATTGAACTTTTTAAAGAATGACCTATCTTGCACAATTTTTAAACAGAACGTTTTTGTATGAAAAATATACTGGTTGTGTATTAATTTCAGCTCATAAATTAAGTATTCATTTCCTTTGTTTGATCCAAATGTCCAATTTAAGAAGAAAAAAAAAAATCTTGTTTATGATCAGGGTTTCAGCTAGGATTTTGAGGGCTTTAGTCACTTTTGCTCAAGATGAAAATCAACCTTATTTGGGTAACAGCAATGAATCAAGGACGTATATTTCTAGCTTTACATATGCCCAAGTCCTTCAAGGAATAGGCGTGCTGATGTAGGCAGTCATTGCATGATTTGACTAATGTGATACCTAAATAGGAAGATAAGAACAAGGATCCGGAAATCTAGTTCACAATTTCACTTCAGGTATTTTGAGGGGACATTCCTGGTCAACAAAAGTTGGGTACCTCTTTTTTCAAACCACAGCATAATACCATAAATGAAGTTGTAATGACTATTTCACTGCCTAATCATTATCCTTGTAAAGACGTTTAAATTGAAATTTGGAATTCATTTCTTTGAAGTTTGAAACAAGGATTTGTATCAATCCTTAATGGAACGATTGTAATTGCTGTAAATTGTAAATTAATCGAGAATAGATCACGTTTACTTTCGATTTTTAAACGAAATGAAAAAAGGAAGTGACAAGTAGATAATAAATTCAGAATCCGGATTCATCTATGGATTGGTTCGTGGTAAACAAAAGGCAGGAAATTATCTTATTTTTTTAAATTAAGTTGCTAAGTAATAAATATATTTGTCTCTCGTTTAATTTGATACTAAATGAATATTAAATTTATGATGTTATATACTTTCAGGGTGTAGATTTATCAACCTTCAGATTTCTTCATTAGTAGACAAATGGTACGGAGAATCTCAGAAACGTGCTGAGGCTGTGTTTTCACTGGTCAGTATTTGACAGATATACTTATAAGAAATGGGATATTTTGCCTAGTATATATGCCATTTACATAACAGTTAAACTCTTTAAGTCTTGAAGTACAAAACTTGAGAATTTTAAATTACTAGTCCTTCAGTTGACATATACAGACATTGTCATCTCCAGCTGAAATACTGAAAAAAAATTGCAATATATTTGTTTCAGAATGTTTTACAAAAAGTAAATAGCAAGCTCTGAATCTTTAAATAGAAAGCTCCATTTAAGACCTCAGAAACAATTAAGCTGTGTAGATTTAAACCCAACAGTAATTCCTATAGTACATGTATTGTTACAAAATTTTCAGTTTAAAAATAGGGAGAATTAGTATGGTTGGCAATAAGACAAATATTCACCAAAGATCAAGGGTTGGTGATACTCTAAGGGATGAAACGTCCAACACCTGTGGCATCAAGTAAATTAACAGCATAACTTTAACCTTAATAACATTAAATGAAAATCAGTTATGACAGATGGCATCCAATGGCAGCCACTGGTCTACAGGCTCCTGGTTTGGGATGGAAACATAAATAATATGACAGGGTTTTAAATGTTTAAACAGAGTCTGTGACATGATAAGATGAAAATGTCTCTCAAAGTTGAATGATTTGTTGACGAATAAATTGTGACCATGTTTTCTTTTAAAATTATAAATTATAAAATTTTCATTTTCTTCAAAGTTATATTTTACATTAAATTTCCTGTATGTTTACACCTGTAATAAGTATATTTATCTTTTGGGTTATTTTTTGTTGTTGTCTTTTTTCGGCTTGCAGGCAGTGAAGCTACAACCAGCCATTATATTTGTAGATGAAATAGGTATGTTTAATGTTAGATTTAAATTTTAATAGATAGAGCTTGACCTTGTTGACTTTCTATGAAATAAGAACAAGATAAAGATCAGCAATATACAAATAAGGAAATGTGGTATGATTTCTAACTATCAACCAGAGTCTATTGACATGATGTAAGCAACTATAGGTCACCATACCATCTTCAACTATAAGCAAAACTCATTTAGTATAGTCAGTTATAAAAGACCCTTACATGACAAAATGTAAACAATTTAAACAAGAAAGACATCGGTCTGATTTATGACAAAGTGTAAACAATTCAAACAAGAAAGACATTGATCTTTAAAAATATTTATGACAAAACAAGTATGACAAACAGCAACCAATGGGAACTACTAAATTACAGGCTCCTTACTTTTGACAGGAACATAAGTTTTGCTGAAATGAAAAATGATAAAATTCTCATAAATGAAGCTATTTTCAATAGAAAATGTTTTCAATAGAGAATGCTACATTCTCTGTTGAAAAAGGCTTCATTTATCGTCATGAGAGTTTTATTGTTTTTAATTTCAGCAAAACTTATATTTCATATGAAGAAAATGAAGAAATTGATGTCAAACTCAATGAAAAGCATAGTAAAAATAAATTAAGATAAATTTGAAAATATTCAGTCATTTAATATAAATGAATTAGCAGAGAAGTATTTGTAAATTGCCTGAGTTGTTTACATTAGAACTGCATGTAAATAATAATTAGAAAATTAGATTGTTGGGAAAATTTACATATTGTATGTACAATGTATTTAATATAACAATCTTTAATTACATATTTTATGGCCGGAATGTCTTAAAAATGGTTTAATTACTACAATAATGTAATATGTGTTACCTATTGGAATTTTAAAAAACAAATATTTCATTTTAGATTCTTTCCTGAGATCAAGATCTTCCACTGATCATGAGGCTACAGCTATGATTAAAACTCAGTTTATGAGTTTATGGGATGGTATTATAACGGACCCCAATTGTCAGATAATGATAGTTGGGGCCACAAACAGACCCCAGGATGTTGATGCTGCTATACTCAGGAGAATGCCTTGTCAGTTTAAGATTGGAAAACCTGTAAGTCAATTATAAAATCCTCTTTCTTGGAGTTGGAGATAAACAGTATGACCTTATATTTGGTCAACAGCTTGACAGTGAATAGTTAAAGTGAACACATTTTTCTGATCTGACAGAAACCTGCTTCCTGTTTGCGAATAAGCAGAACAATGCATGCAATCTTGTTAATTCAGTCAAAACCTGAAAAATCAATAAAAGAAAAATGGGGAGATAGGATCCTACCATATCTCACATAACTTCTCTGGGTAATTTGCATATAAGTACATCAAATGGACATACAACAGTAAATGATCTTCAACCCATGTCCAAAAATAATACTTGTTACTTGTTTCTCTAATTTTTTCACAATTTCTCATTTCCCAACCGATCTTGACAACACTTTTTGCCATACAAATTCAACTTTAACAAATTCAGGTGATTTTTGCATACTGTGGATTTAATCATTTTAGTGAGTTACAATTTTCGGGGATTGAGGGAAATTTGTATTTTAGTGAATATTAGATTTTGTGGTTTTGCCAAAGTCTGCATACAAGCGTATACAAAATTTATACATTAAAATTCGTTATACATTTGTACATTACACATTCAAATTCGAAGTTCATGTTTACCCACGAAATCCACAAAAAGGTATAAATGAATTATAATGAATTCACATTAAAATATTTAATATTAAATATTAAGTATATTCAAAGTTTAAAACATAAAATACTATGAAAAATTCACGAATATTTTACTGTTGAAAGACAGTGTAATTTAATTTTCTACAAAACACACATTTGTGAGCAGGAAATAATGAGCACATGCAAGTAACTCAAAAAAATATAAAAAGGAATTCTGATCTTCATACTGCGAAATTCATATTTTTTTCTGCAGTACATATAGGTAAAGGCTATAAATATGCAGAATGCATAAGATTCTGAAACATGTTAAAATTGTTGAAGACCTCCTTAAACAGAAATAAAAACATGATGATGTAATATATGTTTACTTCCAAATATTTTATTGTTTTACTATTTATCAACATCTACTATTTATCAACATCTACTATTTATCAACCTACTATTTATCAACATCTACTATTTGAGAGAGAAAACAATACATTGTATATGTACTGTTTTGTTTATGCAGGTAAAAGAGCAGAGAAAACATATCATGAACATTATTCTAGAAGAGGAACAGGTTAGAAAGTTATAGATAATGCATATTTTAAGGTCTTTCTTGTGGTATAACACACTGAGGGGTGTCAGGATTGATCAAATAAAAGACCGACCGGAGGGAGGTCTTTCTTTGGGCAATCCGACTTATATACCGCATTATCTGACTTATATACCTTAAAAAGATATTATTTTCTGAAAAGATTTGCAAGATTTCCATCATATTTTACCGACCACACTAAAGTGGGATATTCTTTTCTGATCCGTACTGGTTTTAATACGCCCTACGGCTCATTTGAAACGTGAAATAAAACTCACTAATTGATCTAGATATAAGCTCTAGCATTCATTATCTAGTTACAAAAGAAATATCACTAAATGCATGAAGCAAGACACAAATGAATTGTTACTGTGTATGAAAAATACAAGTCACTTTGTAAGTAATTTATTTTCAACTTATTTTAAGAAAAGGGGATGCTATGTTTTTTCTATTTATTCGTGACATTTTCATCGCGGAAAAGCAGAATATTTTTCAGTTGAATAGTTTTTAACGAGCTGTTCAGAATTATTGTTTTCACTTTTGAATGACATTTTTTTAAACAGAGAACTTAGTCAGAATTAAATATCATACTTCCCCCCAAACCCTATCATAAAGCACGTGGCTGTTATTCTATAGAAATTAAAATATTTGGTCATTTGATCATTTGATAGAGTAAAAGGTATAGGTACCTATAGATGTAATAAATTCAGAAGTGACACAAATAGAGCACGAAATACTGATACATGTACATATAACACGAAAAACGAATATCCATAGGTCAATGTATGATTTCCAATACAGTGTGACTCAATACGATTTTCAAAATCCTACACATGAATTTGTTAAATCTGGTTTGTTTTATTAGTGTTATGAAGGGTTTTGCATTATCAAATTCATCTCAAATATTGTCCCTTTATTGTAGCGATAAATTAACAAAATTTCACATTATTTGTTTCGGACGTTAAAATGTGCGTCCACGACTTTTTTTTGTGTAATTCAGTCTAAAAACAGATGACAGGATTGTTTATGTCTTTATCCATAGCATGCGATACTATCAAACTAATTAAATGTTTAAGTAAATTATAGTTTGCATTTTAATCAAGGAAAATAATGACCTAACACAGGTCATTATTTTCTGCCTTGAAGCAAATTTCATTGAAACTTGGTATCGTCCGGGTTGATTCTTCAAAAGAATGACCTGTCGTTCTGAAAGAAAATAACTCCACATAGGTATATAAACAGTTATTTAATATGGTCAACAGATATCTCGTAATTTTTCAATATATCATTAAAAAAAATAATTTTACAGATAGATTAGTTTACATTTATTAATTGTACCTGTAAACCTGTATTTTAAAGTCCAAAACAATTATTTTGATTTGGTTCTGAAGTTTTTATCTCTTTTATTTTTTTAAAGTTACGACAAATGTGATTTTTCTACTTTACACTTTTTATGATATTCCGATTTGGTAACTAATTTATAGAAAGGGTTAATATTCACCTTCAAAACACATGACATCACATCATATTAAGATTATTATTGTCATGAGGTCATCTTACTGAATATTATATATTACTTCAAAACATTAGTTGGTTTTTAGAAAAAATAGTGAAAGAAACAAAAAATGAAAGATATAATATACATTTGAATGTGTGGCAGTTTTAAGAAAGTGGTACAAACACAAGTGTCATGTTTCCTAGATTTTGCCATTTCCATGAACATTTTCATAAAATGTACTGATGTGCCTTTGATTGAGTGACTTTTATTTGAAGATTTGACTGTAGTGATAATTTCTTGTAAATATGTTTTGTTTCAGGAAATTTATGGAAATGAGAACATTTTATATGAAATTACACATTACTGTAAGTTCAGAAATTATTGTGTGCATTTATTATTGCGATTTTAGAAGAATGGACAAAAATGCGAGATAAATTATTGCGATTTCAGGAAAATCGGCATACATATGTATGTATCAGACATCAGAATGCGAATTCTTATTATTGTGATACTCACCCTGTCACATTATTCGCATTAATAAAAACCTCGCAATAATTTCTGAATTTACAGTATATTAGTACGTTAATTGGTTGATAACAGTGTATTTTTCATGTATTTTCTTTCATCTAATGAATATTGTTCATATATCACTGCTGCCGGGGTATACTGTGAAAGTACTTTTATTCGTGGGGTACCAATTTTCGTGGTTTTCGTGGATGGCTTTATCCACGAATTTAAGTGTCCAACGAAATAAAACAATTGTTGTCCAAAGCAAGACATGGAAACATCCACTGTAGGTTTGACTACATTGATACGGGCATACAATCTTGAGAAAAAAATCAACAAACATACTTTGAACTGATTTATGCAGTGGTGTAGCACCAGTGTAGCATGTACAACTTCATATAGGATTTTAATCTTAAAATAACCTAAGTTGTACGACTGTTAACCTTCTTTATTCTCATGAAAAAATTTCACTAGTTTTGAAAGATGAAAGTCAGACTTCTGGTGAAGATATACCATGATGAAGTGTTCATTTTATCTCCTCATAATTCTCACGAAAAAAAAATCATATTGGGCTTGCATTTTATTTCATAAGTATTATTTTATAAGAATTAATTCAAAGTACATTTGAATCGTTTTTTATGCAACCTTTTTTTTTAAATGACATATTTATGGCCCAATTAACACTTTTGCGGATCGTTAATCTGTTGAACATTCCATCTCGGGTTAATTAGTGTCAACATTTCTGTTTACAAGTGTGCAACAATTAAAATGTTTACTTTGCAATTTCCTTCAATGAGACATTTTGTATTCAGAGATAATTCAGCTTATTTCTGAAAGCAATTATTCTATTAAAAATTTGATGAATGTTATCAGAAAAAAAGACAAACATGTGAGCGAAAATCTTTGTTTTTGATGGGTTCAAATTCTTCACCCGATTTTGTTTCCAGAAAACTAAAATCCACGAATTTAAGAACCCACGAACATGTAACTTTTGCTCAAACCACGAAAATTGGTACCCATGAATAAAAGTACTTTCACAGGTATTTGCCAAAACAAATATGCCTTCTTTACCTTTCACAGAAACGCTTGACCATTTGTGCATTTCATAACAAGGAGCTGTTTTTGATAGCATATAGATAGTGCTTTCAACATTTGAAATGCATCTTTTTTTGTTGTTTTCAACCTTGTTCATGTCACAAATTTCACAATTATAAAAGCATTGCAAACATTTCTGAATTTATAATATTGCATATATATTCAAAGTAGGCAATTTACTTTTTCTCTGTTTAGGTAGCTGATATAGACTTGAACAAGTTAGGTGACTTAACAGATGGTTTTTCCGGTAGTGATTTGAAGGAAGGATGTAGACAAGCAGCATTATACAGAGTACATGAAGTATTAGAGGCTCATAGAAACTTACATGGAGTTGATGCTTTGTAAGTATATAATGTTTTGACACCATGAAGCGCTGTATCTTGAAAAATATCACATTGATTACATGTTATATTATGTCTTCATGGTAAAATATCAGTTGGGAGTGACAATATATTCAAATTTTGGGGGAATGAAGCATCAAAAAATCTTTAAAAAAAAGCTTCATATTGTGTTGAGCAGCTGATTGTTTGCAATATCTATCATGTGCCCATGTAAGGAAAATCTGTGATCAATTTATTGGATTGTATTTTTTTGGTTTAAGAGATGGAAATCATACTTTTTGTTTGTTTTACATAAGAATATTTTATAAGTTCAGAGCAGACTTATAAATGTCATGTCAGAAACATTATGATGTTAGCAATAAATCTGTGTCTAAGTTATTAAGGCAACATCATACACATATGATGGCTCAAAGCCTTGATATTTGATTTTACCAAAGGTGTTGAGAAGTAACAATGACTATTTTCACACCAAACTCTTTAAGAAGTTAAGAAACTGATAAATTAGTAAAACTATGAAAAAAACTGTACATGGACCACAGTAAGTAAACAGTCTTTGATTATAATTTTGACCTTTGGAATTTTTTAGCAAAATATTCAGTACACTGTTAATCAACTAATTTTTTGAGCAATTTATTTACTTGACTTGGCAAGTCGAAAATTACAAATCATAATCAGTATGTAAAACTAGGATTTACTGAATGAAGAAATCAACAAATTTGAAATTGCAAAAATAAAATGCCTCAGAGTTGCCTAGAAAGTATCCATGATGATATGATAGTTTTGTTAACAGTATCTGATTGGTAGATATAGTCTGGAGTATATAAGACCTACATCACATGAACAGTAAACGATCAGTCTAGTACTTTGTGTCACTGAAATAAAATAGAATATTTCTTTTTATTAAAAATTCAGTGTGTTTCTATTCATTTTTCAGTGAGATTCCAACAGCAGATTTGCGAGATATGAACATGAGTGACCTTGAATACGGAATAAACCAAGTAAAGGATTCCAAGGAATTAATGGCTGGAAGTTTATCTTACCCATTACTAGACTGATTCACAATTAATTAACCAATGAAAGTTGTACATTTATAGTTATTTGGTGTCATATATTATTGTCATGGCTATGTAAAATATTTATAAATAAAATTTTAAATAAAATTTTGTCATGTTGTGGTAATTTCTTTGATACACTGTTATCTAACTAGTAGATTTTAAACCAATTTTACTGAAAATTATGTTATATCAAAGTAAGGAGATGTGGTTTGATTACCAATGAGACAACTATCCACCAAAGTTCAAATGGAGTCGATTTAAGCAATTATAGGCAACTGTACCTCCTTCAACAATGAGAAAACCCATACAGTATAGGCGCCTATAAAAGGCCCTGACATGAAAAATATGAAACAATTCAATTGAGAAAACTAACAGCCTAATTGATAACAAAACAATGCATATTTGTTTTTTTTTTATTTAAGGACATCCATCATTTTTTTTGGTTAGGGTGGTGGGTATTAGGTTGGTATGCATCAGTTACAAATTTTCATGAAATTTTTGAAAGAGATGCGAAAGATACCAGAGGGACATTCAAACTCATAAGTCGAAAATAAACTGACAATGCCATGACTATAAAAGAAAAAGACAAACAGACAAGCACTAGTACACAAAACACAAAATAGAAAAATAAAAACTAAGCAACACCAACTCCATCAAAAACTGGGGGTGATCTCAGATGCTCCGGAAGGGTAAGCAGATCCTGCTCCACATTTGGTGCCCGTCATGTTGCTCATATTAGTACAAACCTGGTAATAAGTCTAATTTTGGTAGGTCTCATTTGTGAAAAGGGGACGGGATTGTAGTTATGACATAAGGAACATTCAGCTATCATCTGTGAAACGGATATTCCATAAGAGTCAACCAACTCTTGATGGCGTCCTTAAAATTTACTAAGGGATGATTTCACCTTCACCATTTGGAACTCTTGGTTTAATAGCTTCGTGTGAACAGCAACTCTCTATCAAGGAAATATTGAAAGGAAATACAGGCCTGGGAATATCGTATCAGTAGGGAGCCTCATTGTCAATTTCTAGATGTAAGTCCAGATATGAGGCAGACTTATCTGTATCTGTTGTTTCCTTTATTTCAAGCTCGATGGGATAGATGCTTTCAACATAGTCACCAAATTTTGAAATATTTAGTGAGAGAACATCATCTATATAGTGGAAAGTAAAGTTAAAGGATATTGCTAACTTCTTTACTCTCTCCCTTAGAAGTTCCTGTATGAAATCAGCCTCGTGCTGATAAAGGAACAAGTTGGACACAGTTTTTGATTATTATCTTGAATATTATTATAGATAGAGATAAATTGTAAGCAGCAATAATGTTCAGCAAAGTAAGATTTACAAATAAGTCAACATGACCAAAATTGTCAATTGACCCCTTAAAGAGTTATTGCCCTTTACAGTCAATTTTTAACAATTTTTCATAAATTTTTGTTAACTTTTACAAAAATCTTCTCCTCTGAAACTACATAGACAAATTCAACCAAACTTGGCCACAATCATCATGAGGGGATCTATTTAAAAAACAAATGTATCCTATGACCCCACCTGCCAACCAACATGGCCTTAATAGCTAAAAATAGAACATGGGTGTAAAATGCAGTTTTTGGTTTATTTTGCTGTAATTAAAGCATTTAGAGCAAATACAGCGGAGTAAAAATGTTCATCAGGTTTAGATCTATATGCCCTGAAATTTTCAGATGAATTAGACAACCTGTTGTTGAGTTGCTGCCCCTAAATTAGTAATTTTAGGGAAATTTTGCAGTTTTTGGTTATTATCTTGAATATTATTATAGATAGAGGTAAACTGTAAACAGTAATAATGTTCAGCAAAGTTAGATCTACAAATAAGTCAACATGATCAAAATTTTAAATTGACCTCTTAAGGAGTAATTGCCCTTTATAGTCAATTTTTAACAATTTTTCGTAAATTTTTGTAATCTTTTACAAAAATCTTCTCCTCTGAAACAACAGAGACAAATTCAACCAAACTTGGCCATAATCATAATTAGGGTATCTAGTTAAGCAAATGTGACCCCGCCTACCAACCAACATGGCCGCCATAGCTAAAAATAGAACATAGGGGGAAAATGCAAGTTGTGTCTATTATCCTGAAAACTGCTATGAGTAGAGAAAATCTAACAGAGGCAAAAATGTTTAGAATTTTGAGATCTACCTGCTGGCTCTTTAAGTCAGAACAGTCAGATGACTTCTTATAGGAGTTATTGCCCTTAAATGACACATTTTTATTATTTTTGCTATTTTTGAATATCATTTTGAAAACAATTACAGACATTTAGAAACTGAAATAAGTTGAAATGATCAGTTCAAAAAGATCTCCAAATAAGTCAAACATGGCCGAAATCATGCTTGTTAGAACTACTATATAGGTTGTCTCTATTTAGCAAAAACGAGATCTCTGTGGCTCTCTTCTTGTTCGATTAAAGTAATACCTATGCATTTTGAATCTTAATTAAAGGTCAGGTCGCCACTCTTAAAAGATGATAATCTTAGGCTCTTGTGTCCAGGAAAAAAATCTACAAAACGATTGACACAATTCTGTTGTCAGTCTCCATAATGATCAGTATCTTTGCTGTGACAACCAATTGAAAAACTTATAATAAACATGGCGAAATCAATTAAAGTTTCTTTGCTTTGATGATCCTTTAACAGTAATGATATACAAAAAATATATAAAAATGTATATTCATGAAACAGCAGCACGGCATACTTGAAATGTGTGTTTTAACCTTGAAAACTTAAAATGATCAATAAAGCAGTTAAAATCAAACGAAAGATAAGATTTTGATCCACACAGATTCCTTTAAAAAAGTATTATTGTTCCATTGGAGCCTCTAGTTATCATTACTTATTATATCTAGTTGTTCAAATTTATCTGTCAAAACTTTTTTTCAATCGATGTCTCAAAAGGTATCGATTGAGGTAATGGTGGATTTTCAATTACTTTAAAATGTTTCTTTTATGACGTCGATCAGAGAAGAATGTATTCGAATTTCGATTAATGAAAGCTTAAGGGGGCATTGGCTGTTAAATTCATGTTCATTGATTTGACTCAAATTTTCATATTTGATTTGTAGTACAATTTCTCAGGAAATGTGTAACTTCATGACACCAAAGCGTAAGTTAACATGTAGTATATTTTTCTTTATATATGTATAAACCTTGTCAGACAAGAATAATCTTTTTAAGTCGTCCAAAACAGTTGACTACCATTCTATATTTGGTAATTTTACACGAGCTGTTAATCATACTTTTTTCACATTAAATCTTAAATCTAGATGTGCTAATTTGAATATCCTTTACTATGATTAAGGTGTTTTCTCTAGAAAAGTATTTATTTTTCGTTTTTTGTTTATTGTAAATTACACACATGGATTCACCCAGAAAAGGCGACTATTTTCTAATGTAAACCTACAGGCACATGTGTGCTACTGTTTTTTTTACTGTAACTGAATTATTTGATCACATTTATTATGAACTTTGAATTTGATTAGACTATTGAGACAAGAATTGTATGACACAAGTTTATTATTGAACACTTCATTTAACAGAAAAAGATGATTTAAAACCAAATATTGTGTTTTGAATATTGATATTTTATTGTTTACTGTCATGCTATATTCTTGCAATGTTAATTGTTAGTAAGTATTGCTTATTTTGTATTTTTCAGTTTTTCGCCCTCTCAGGTTTGTTTATCAAGTAAAGAATTTGAAGTTTTATTAGTCTTTCTTGTGAGCCATAACAGTGAAAAAGCTTCGACCAGTCGTGACAATGGGAACCTACTTAGGCCGTGAGCGGAAGCTAACAACACCTGGTAATGAGTTGTATTTAGACAAGGTGCGTAAATACAAAAGACAACTAACATTGATTCAAAAGGAAATTGAAACATGCATAGATTCTACAAGAGAAACCACTAGAGATTCAGACAAAGAATTAGTAACGATGTTCGAAAAAATAATGCAATTTATTCAAGAATATGAAAGTGTGTCTGACCACTTTTTAAACTTTCTGCTTAGAATTAGGACAGCAGACAGTGAGAAGGAGGGATCAATACACATTCAAGAAAGAGACACTTTGAAGTTCAAAGTTGAAGCAATTTTAAAACAGTATGAACAGAGAGAAGTCATTCATATAAAACAGAGTCGTTCAGTTTCAAGTCACAGTCACTTATCAACTAAATCTGATATATTAAGGAAAAAAGCACAATTAGAGACAAAAGTAAAATACAGTGAGAAGCAGGCTAATCTTATAAGACAAAAGGCAGCCTTAGAGGCAGAATTAGGTATCCTTCAGATTAAAGAAGAGACTGAGGTGTTAGAGTCAGAGATTAGAATAATGGAAAATGAGTCCTTGTTAGGAGACGATGATGATTTATACTCCGTATCAGAAGTTCGAATAGAAAGAACAAAAGAATATGTTCATAATCTACATATATACAGGTTACACAACCAAGTGCAATTGTGAACGCACCTGTTCGTGAACAACCATATGTACATGCACAACCAAGTGCAATTGTGAATGCACCTGATCGTGAACAACCATATGTACATGCATCACCTAGTGCAATTATGAACCAGCTGTTCCTGAACAACCATATGTACATGCACAACCTAGTGCAATTGTGAACGCACCTGTTCGTGAACAACCATATGTACATGCACAACCAAGTTCAATTGTGAATACACCAGAACAGCAATCTGCACAACTTAGTGCATTTGTGAATGCACCTACACTATATGTGCCTCCTGATGTAAACAACAATAATTCGTAAATTGAACTGTGTAATTTGATCACGAAGATGATGGCTTGGAAGGATATTGTTTTATCACGACTTATCAAATACAATGATAGCCCATTTCAGTTCCTATCTTGGAAAGAGACATTTAAAGATGTTATGAAAGAACTTAGTGTGACTCCTTCAAAAGAGTTGGATCTTCTCATAGGTGGCTTGGTCCAGATTCAACAAGACAAGCAGAAAGTATCAAAGCTGCCAGCGCTAGTGAT